CCCCCCCCCCCCCCCCCCTCCCCACTACCCTTCTCAAGACGACCGATTCAAACGACGTGTGTTTCTCTCAACCTCCACCAGAAACACACCCATTCGTCTATTTACGGCCTGATCATGGTCGTTCCCTCGCGAAATTGAACCATGGGGAACTGCAGCTCAGTCTAGTTGATCGGTCTGACTGTTGGTTTCCTGCTTGTTTCATTGGCGCATTTTATTTGAACGCTTCTGCGTAATCGATCTTGCGATCTTTCCCCGCTCTTTTTACCTACTCTGCAGTTCCGTTCCGAGTCGGCTTTATCATCATGCTCGGTCGACTATTGAATACTGCAGCGGCCACTCTCAATCCGACGGGATACTCCGCGAAGAACCCACAGCCACTGGAATCGGTCACAGAAGAGGAGCATACATCGGGCTTGCTGTATCCTGACGTTAGCCTTCTTCGACGATCCAACTCGCACGCGTACCCCCTTCATACCGCTTTCAATTCTCCGAACACCTCGACGGCCGGTGGATATGATGATCGTGGTGGTGGCGTCGAATTGGACCACCTGAAGGATTTCCGGGTGATAATCGCTCAGAACGCGCTGGGAGACCGGGATGCCTGTGTGTTGCTGGATACCCGGGCCACTCCGCAGGGACAAGGCTCACATGGTCTGGGCTTGGAGCCACAGGTGTTCGAAAATACTGGTACCCGCCATGCCCGCACGCTCTCCACGTTGACTCGCGGCCCGCGGCGGGGTTATCTGCCTCAGTCCTCGGTGGTGGAATCAAGCCCGCTGTCTGCGGCTGCAGAGACACGGCGATCCCCACCCATGTCTTCTGGCGCGTTCATGAGGGCACGGGTTCGTAGCTCTACGCTGGCACCGGGTGGAAGTTTCGCCGAAGGTGGCCATTCCCGGGGCACGACGGATGCAAATGACTCCGGGTTGCTCAACTGCATCTTTGGGAGCAGTGCCTTCAGCTATAAGGGTTCCTCCACCAAGATGCATATCATTTCGGCCGATGACGAACCGGGTCAAACCTCGCCAGCGTCTCCGGCGGCACGTAGCTCTCTATCACGAGCATATACTACGGGAAGTTCCACGACGTTTGGCGGCTCCGATCGTGGTAATGAGCCGAAACCACCTGCCAAGGTCACTATCCTGTTGACCAGGATGTTCAGTGTGCATCTGCCCGAAGGCGGAGATGATGCCTCCCCTCCGGATAGGTCTGACTTGTCATCTTCAGTCTCCCACGACGCTCTTCCGAGCCCGGGGTTTCCCTTCCCGGACGTCTCGAAGCGCAAGAAGATCAAGGAGAAGAAAACCCCCATGTACGCGGTCGCTATTACAATCCAGATCCCGCTCTTATCCCGAAATGGTGGGCGGCCGGTTTCTCGGTTTGCGCAAGGTCCAGACTCTCCCAAGCCAGGGCTTTCGTGCTCATTGGACTCGGACTATCGCTGGCGTGGCGGCTTCTTCGAGGACAGCCTGTCCCTCGCATCTCCTCCCGCGAGTCTGGATGAGCGTATTGATCTGTTGGTAGATCACTGGGATATCATCAACCGGACTCTGTCCCATTTGGAGAGGCTGTCTCGGAACGAGATCCTGTTCTTACTCAAAAAGGTAGACGCCTCGGCCGGACCGCACCCCAAGCCGGCTAAACCTCCAAATATGCAGAGGACTAATCAGACCTTTGTTCATCTACCGGTCAACGTTTTGTCCATCAACTCAAAGCTTCGCGACGAAGCCATCCGCAGCACTCGTCGCATAAGCACGGCTCTGCAGATGCCTTACGTTGTTACAGGCCAGAGCCGCTGGGGCGTCTGGCGTGAAGAAGGGCGGTCGATAATCCGCAGTCTTGGAGACAAAGACCACAGTTTCTTTTTCCTGGTCCTGGTTACTGCCTTCTTGGGGAACCACACGGAGTGGCTCAATGCCGTGGGCCCGGAGTGGTACCGTCGGCGGCACTATCTGCAACAGAAGGCTCAGCAAGATGCCGACCCGATGCTGGCTAATCGCACCGTGATCATCTCGCCGGATAAGATGACTGCCAGAAGACTGATTTTCTTACTGGCGGCGTTCTTGCCTCCCAAACAGCGCTTCGAGCCCCTGCCGTCTCCGATCCGTCCTGGCACTGCGGCGTCGACTCGTGCTGTCTCCCAGAGCCCGCCTAACGTTCCTATCTTACGACAGGAGGCGTTGCGGAGAGTGATGGAACGACGGTCTCGTGCGCAGCGCCTCAACCTCAATGAGAGAGAGCAGCACCAGCGGTCTGTGAGTGCTTCATCCAATGAGACGGCCCATCGTTCGGCGGAAGAACCCGAGCCTATGGTTCCGCCTGATTTTGGTGCGAAGCGCAGGGGCTCAGATGCCCGCTCGATCCGAGCCTTAGGAGTTCCTATCCATACTAGAGACATGCGTCCGAGGAACACGAGTGCAGCCACCACTTCGACCACTACTCCGAGTAGTACCGTTCCCGTCCCGCACTTCGCCTCGCAGAGCCGGTCTGAGCGGATGGGATCGGATCCAAGTGTGGCCGAAGGACGTGACAGCCTGGCGTCCGAAACTCTTCTAAAGAATCTGCGGCGGTCCGAAACCTCGGCAACCTGTGCCAATGGCCAGATACCTCCCGCGAGTGGCCGCTGGGGCACTTTGTTCTCTGGCTTGTGGAGCTCTCGTCAGGAGTCATCAGACGCTGGTGACGCCCCTGCGCCATCTGAAGCGCGCAAGCGATCGGTATCTGCTTATACGAACCCGCCCAGACGGAACCCTCCGACACTTGCCCAGATGGTCAAAGAAGCATCGGAGGAACCCATGGCGGCGGCACCCAAAGCTCCTACGAGCGGCAATATCTCTATTCCTCCGGCGACAAACAGTCATATCTCATTCGAGGAGGACACACCGGATTTGTCGTCGACCACGGACCAGACCAGGGAGTCTTCCTTGAAGATGGCTGTTCGTGGCGATGACGGCGTGGTGGACGTGGACCTGCCGCTCCCAGGGTTCCTGTCGCTTTCGTCGTCCGGGGACTCCACGCTGGCCTCCCCGAAGAAGACCCGCACCTCGGTCACTAGTATGGATGCAATGGCATCTACACAGAGCAGTGTATCCGGGTTCCACGGTAGTCTCAAGGACACCGATGGACCTAATACCAATGTAGCTGGCTGGCTGCGAACTTTCCATGATGACTTTCTCCTGCAGGCCGTGAGACCATACGCCTCACTGGAAGCCGATATCAAGCGCGCCATGCAGGCCGAGCCTACGCCAAGCCAAGCCATGTGTCTTAACGCGGACGGCTCCGAACGATGGGTGGATGTTGCGACCACCGTGATCGCGGACGTCCGGAACTTTACGGTGAAGCGACTGCGACTGCGACGTAAACTTGTGGGACATGGGTCGTCGCGCAAGGCGTATACGTCCTCTTTCCCTTCGCAGCCCGGCACTCCGCGGTACGTGTCCAACGGGTCTGTGTCGGCCTCGCAGCTCACGAGCTTCTTCTCGCACGCTACTGGGTCGAGCAGGACATCCAATAATTCCTCCATGGACGATATGTATCCTACCGAGGTTGAGGAACGGTTTGTGGAAGAGCCCGTGATGGATCTGGATGGTACCCTTGTCGACGCTCTTGAACGTGTACTTGCACAGAGTGGACCGTCGTCCATGGCCCATTCTCGGGCGCCGTCGCCGTCCCGTGGTCGTCGCGGGGAGGATAAGCCGCCAGCGGAAGCTCCAGCGACCGCGCGGGAAGAAATCCGACCCGTCGAGGTGCCTCGGACTGAGTGTCGCAAGCTGGTTCTCGGGGCGCTGGAAGAGGTGGTGCGCAGTGTGACCGCGGAGCATTGCCGCGAGGATGTTGATGGGGAGCTCGGCTTAGCCGATAGAGAGCGCAAGCGTGCGTTGGCCGGGGCGGATAACACGCTGCGCGAGGGAGTTCGCAAGTGGCTTCTCGATGTTGAGGAGGCGTGGTAGGGGTGGGGGATGAGTGAATTTTCTGTTCTGATGCTTTTATGTTAACATGATACCCATGTTGAGTATTTCCTGCACTCGACCCAGCGTTGAGCATACATACATACGTACAGTACATCATCATCATCATCATCATCATACATACATACATACATACATACATGATCTGACGGCTGTCAATGACAGATGCACGTGGACTGTAGGGGAAGTAATTCTAAAATTAATATCTTTGGTGGCCGTCGGCATCAGCCCACCGGAGACGTCTTCCTTCTGGTGGGCAAAGCGATTGGTGGACAAATCCAACCAGGATAAATCCAGGGGTCATTTAGCCTTAGCTAAAATGACGGCGGTGGTTTTTACCCCTCTTCCAATCACCTCTCTCTCGGTTCTCCCGGTTCTCTCGGTCTTCCGGCCCGTGAGATGCCATGGTGTCTATTCAACCGGCGCAATCCTGGTCTGTCAGTCAGTCAGTCAGTCAGTGCAGTGCTTGTACTGCGGGGTGGGGTGGGGTCATAACAGTGTTGAGCCTTGACAATGATCCAATTCATACTTAAGACACGCCGCGCTGCTCGTTGACCGAGGTCTCTCCCCTCCCCTCAGGGCCCAGCATTGCTCCCCCCCCAAGTTTAAACCTCTACATATCATCAATTGATACCCCATCCATCACAATGAAGTTCACCGAGGGAATGTGGCGCATCCGGGTGAGTTTCCCCGTCTAAGACCGAACCGAATCAGACGTTAATGTGTGAGCGCTTGAGTGACAGGAGGGGATCCGGATCGACTGGATGAACAACGTGGAGCGCCTGAGCATCGAGAACGAGACGGTGGATCTGCTCCTGAACAAGTTCCAGCGGCACCGGGGTGATACGCTGAACTCCGGTGGGTGGTCCCTCTCCTTTCTTTATCCTGGATCCAGATGGGGATGAGTAGAAGAAGAGGGCTTGGACTGACGACTGGTGGGTGTATAGCTACGGTCTCGGCGCAGGTCACGTCGCCGTTGGAAGGGATTATCGGCGTGAAGCTTGTCCATTGGTGTGTACCCTCCCCCTCGTTTTCATTCTCCGTCCTACAGCAAGTGTCGTCCTCTCCCGAACGCTCATACTAATGAGACCCCAGGGCCGGCGGCATCGGCAAAGGCCCGCACTACGAACTCACCAAGACCACCGGGCACGTCCAGATCTCGCATGAGGAGAATCAAGCGCTTCACTACCGCAGCGGCGGCCTCGACCTGGCCGTGACGACCGCGCCCAACGAACTCGACTTCGTCTTTTCCTCTGCTACCAGCCAGAAGCAGCGCAAGCTGACGGGCCACTCCTGGCGCTCGATCGGGTACATCGGCGACCAGACGACCGAGAAATCCCGGTGGGACGACGGGATCTTCTTCGAGCGGCAGGGCTACATGCTGGCGGCGCTGGACCTGGGCGTGGGCGAGAAGCTGTACGGGCTGGGCGAGCGGTTCGGCCCGTTCATCAAGAACGGGCAGACGGTCGACATCTGGAACGAGGACGGCGGCACCTCCTCCGAGCTGGCGTACAAGAACATCCCCTTCTACTTGAGCTCGGCCGGGTACGGCGTGTTCGTGAACCACCCGGGCAAGGTGAGTCTGGAGCTGCAGTCGGAGCGCACGACCCGCGTCAATATCTCGGTGCCCGGCGAGGAGCTCGAGTATTTTGTTATCTATGGGGACTCGCCCAAGGCGATTTTGGAGCGGTATACGGCCTTGACGGGGAGGCCGAGTCTGGTGCCGGCGTGGAGTTATAATCTTTGGCTGACGACGAGTATGTTCCGCTTGGGGGTGGGGTTGGGGGAAGGTTGATGCCAATGCTGATGCGTTATGGGACAGGCTTCACGACCAACTACGACGAACAGACCGTCACTGGCTTCCTGGACGGGTTCCGGGACCGCGAGATCCCGCTGGGCGTGTTCCACTTCGACTGCTTCTGGATGAAGTCGTACCAGTGGTGCGACTTCGAGTTCGACTCGGCCATGTTCCCCGACGCTGCGGGGTACATCAAGCGGCTGAAGGAACGCGGGCTGCGGATCAGTGTCTGGCTCAACCCGTACGTCGGCCAGGCATCGCCGCTATTCAAGGAGGGCAAAGAGAAAGGATACTTCATCAAGGTACGCTCCCCCTCTGCTCTCCCCCTGCCCCCTACCCCCCTCCCCTGCAACCCTCACTAACCCCCCGCCCGCCCTTCCCACAGCGCACCGACGGCACAGTCTGGCAATGGGACTACTGGCAAGCCGGCATGGCGATCGTCGACTTCACGAACCCCTCCGCGCGCACCTGGTTCCAATCCCACCTCCGCCGCCTGCTAGACCTAGGAGTCGACAGCTTCAAAACTGACTTCGGCGAACGCATCCCCTACCGCAACGTCACCTACTTTGACGAGAGCGTCGACCCCACGCGCATGCACAACTACTACACCCTCACCTTCAACGAACTCTGCTACACGACCCTCCTCCACCACCACCCAGACAACATCGATCCCACCACCCACGAAATCACCAACAAGTCCGGCGCCGTCCTCTTCGCCCGCTCCACCGCCGCCGGCGGCCAGAAATTCCCCATCCACTGGGGCGGCGACTGCGAGAGCACCTACGAAGCGATGGCCGAGTCCCTGCGCGGCTGCTTGTCGCTGTCCCTCTCGGGCTTCATCTTCTGGGCCTCCGACATCGGCGGCTTCGAGGGCACCCCGCCGCCGGACGTGTACAAGCGGTGGGTGCAGTTCGGCTTGCTGTCGACGCACTCCCGGCTGCACGGGAGCCACTCGTTCCGCGTGCCGTGGATCTACGGCGAGGATTGTTCGGTCGTCCTGCGCGACTGCGTGAAAAGGAAGATTGCGCTCACGCCGTATCTCCTCCAGAACGCGCTGGAGGGGGCCCGCCGCGGGACGCCCGTGATGCGGCCCTTGTTGTTGGAGTTTCCCGCCGACAAGAATGCGTGGAGCGTGGATACGGTGTATATGCTTGGGGGCGATTTGTTGGTCGCGCCGGTGTTGAGTAAGGAGGGGGTGGTGTCGTTTTATGTGCCGGACACGGAAGAGGATGGGGAGTGGGTGAGTTGGTTTGATCATTCGAAAAAGTATCAGGGCGGCAGGTGGTATACCGAGACGCATGGGTTCGAGACCCTGCCTCTGTTGATTCGGCCGGGGGCCGTCGTGCCGGTGAACTTTCAACTGAGCAAGCCGGAGGATGATCCGTTGGTGGGGTTGGAGGTGCTGGTGAATGGTGACCTTACAGGGGAGGTCGAGGTCGAGGTGGTCGATCCGGTGAAGGCCCATGAGGTGCGCTCGGTTGTGAAGGTGCGGAAGGAGGGCGGGGAGGTTAAGGCTGATGTGGAGGGGGTCAAAGTTACGATTATTCAGTGAGGGGGGCTGTTGTTGGCTTGGGTATGGGTGTAGGTTTGAGCAAGTTCCGGTAGAGTGTTTGTTTCTAAATCGTGGTTGTTGGGCTATCTCACGGTGTAGTGGTGGACTCAAGAATGCAGGGAGATGCTGTCTATAACTGCGCGTTGGTGTTAGGCCTGGAAAGGCTAAGGAAGACACTAGTAAGATACTCAGACAATTGTTCATTAGGTTGTAATACATGGCTCACAGGGTATCCATCCACGACCACTACACATACATATACACATTACACCAGTCCTTAACATTGACAAACACCCTCATCCTCAAAAGCAACCTCCTCACAAACCCCTCGACCAAATCACATCAACGGCCTCAGACTCCCACTCCGCGGACTCCCTCGCACCAGACTACTCCCCTCGTCCCGCGAGCGCGCCCGCGCCTCCGTCGTCGACGGATTCATCAGCACCGCACTGGAATGGATCCGCTGCGGCAACGCCGGCAGCAGCGGATGCTGCGGATGGCCCACGACACTATCCGGCAGCTCTAGCGAGGGGATATCCGTCATCTTGGTTGGCGGGTTCGAGGGCGTGACGCGCGTCGAGACCGGGCGCGCGTGCGACTCTTTATAGAACTGCTGCAGACGGACCGGATCACCACAGAAATCCACGATCCCGTTCAGGATGTGCTCGGGCGCGCGGTAGAGGTTGGAGGAGTCGATGCTGGGGTGTTGGCCGGGCGGGGCGACGGGGTGGAGGCTGGCATTGTCTTTGACATTGTTCGTAGCGCTGGGATGACTGGTGCTACTGCCGCCAATGGTGCTGCTGCTGCCACTCCCACCGGTGAGATCTTGGATTGGGCGCACCATCGGCGAGAGACGCGGGGAAGAGGTCGAGGAGACGCGGTCCGCGGCGACCGGGTCGTACGTGCCGGCGCGGGCCCGGTACTGCTCCGCGCGCTCCATGCGCTCCATGCGGGGCATGTCGCGGCTCGCGGTGCTGCGCGTGCTCACCAGACGGTTGGCCAGGAACAGGAACTCGCCCTCGTCGGTGATCTGGGCGAGCAGACTGCCCGACCGGTGGATGAACTGCGGGTAGCGGTAGTCCGGGATGCCCCAAGAGTAAGAGACCTCGACGTCGGCGGGGAACGCCGACCGGGCCTCAAAGTCGAGCACAAAGTCAAACTTGCGCAGCAGGGCCTTCTGGAAGTAGAGGGGATCCGGATTGAGGTTCTGCGCCGAGACGGACGCCGAGGGGTTAGGGTTGTAGGGCACGGGGACCGGCCCGCGCGGGGGCGGCACCTTGAGTTGCACGCGGAAAGGCTTGCGGAAGGGCTGCGTCTGGTCGATCGCAGACGCCTCGGCGATGGGCACCTGCACGAGCTTCAGGCCGAACTTCTCCGCGGTCGCCGCCCACGACAGCACCGTGTCTTCGATCAGTTTGGCTGTCGTGCCCATCCAGCTGAGTTCGATGTGGAAACAATTGTCCGGGTTATGCAGACGGTCGTAGTGAAGATCAATGACCTCGGGGCGGTTCGATCGTCGACGCGGATCCACGTCGTACTGCATCTTCTTCGACAGCATGATCGTAGCTTTATTCTTGGCTCTGGACGGCGTGTTGGGCACCTGAGGCATGGCGTCATCCACACTCTCGGACCGGGACTCGGATCGAGACTCAGATCGCGATTCCGCGCGGGAATGATTGCTCGAGTGATCGGCAGCAGGAGTCAAGGGGGTCGCCTTATCCGGTCGCATCTGAGGGAACCAGCCGCCTCGCGACTCCGGACGATGCGGCCGGTATTCGCTCGAGAGCTGGTAGAAATAGTTCCCATCGCGGAAATTGTGCCGCCGTTCAACGTGATGGAAGAGTCCATGCTTAAGCAGTTCGTTGCCGAAGTCCACCGCTTCCTCTCGGGTGTCGATATCGCGGAAAGTCTGAATCAGCCAGGTGGTGAGTTCGAATCCGATGAAGCAGCTGTAATGCAGCCGCCAGTGCCACCGTCGATCCTCCATCCGTATACCCTTCTCGCCTTGAATGGCCTGCGCCAACGTTGACAGGGTGATGCTGGAGCGCTCAAACTGCTCGGACTCGGGCAACAGCTGGGCAGGAGCACTATCCAAGCTCGGGTCGGTCAGTTGCATCCGGTCCAACTCTGCGGCGACCACCTCCGACGAGTTCTGCGTGTTGTAGATGATGTTGAGCGGGTTCTCGGCCTTTTTGCCATTCGAAGCATTGAAGAGCTTCTCCTCCGGTGGGATGTACTTGTGGCGCTGCCAGATCCGTGTCAATTGATTGATACCCAGGAGGTGGATCTCCTCCTCGTTGTCTTCGTTGAACGTCTGAATGTGACGGCGGGAATGCACATGTAAATGCATCGGAATCAAGACATAGCGCACGCGCCAGAAGTGGAGCTGCTGGGATGGGTTGAAGAGATAGTCTCGATGCCCAGCCACGTAGTTGTCGGCGTAGTTCCAGTTGTATTCCTCGAGCTTCGAATCGAGGCGGATGTTCTTCAACTCGTACTGCGGGTTCAAGATCGTCCGCATCGCCGGCGAGTACATGCTGAAGTCATCGAACTGTTCCGAGGCAAGAATGGAGGAGTTGCGATGGGTATAGCGCGTCACTTCGATTTCCGCGCCTTCCACACAAATCAATCGATGAATCGTGTTGCCCTTAGACAGAAACACAGTAGCACCATCTCTTTCCAGACCACGCGTGTCGAATACATTGGGTGATTCCAGAGCGTATTGTCCAGAGGCTTCTAAAACAGCTCTACCAACCACGATCTGGAAGCCATGTGAGAGACGCAAGGAGATCATCTCGCGAAGGAGCACACCTCGTGTTTTCGGAGGCTCGATACCTTCCGCATCTTCATTCGGGAAGACACGATACGGGGTCTGGAAGTAGTCCGAGGCCAGCTCCTTCGCGGTGGGGAACTCTTCCGTGGTCAAGGGCAGAATGGCGGGGGACTTCAAACTTTTCCATTTAACGACGGCCACATGAGGAGGTCTGGGGTAGGCATGCTGCCAGCGCCCAAACCAGCTGGTCTCTCGCATAACCTCTTTCGAGGTGTTGCACGGATTGATAGAACGGACCCAAGGGGCCAATGCCGTGTTGTGAGGGCTTTTCGACGAAGCCTCGCGCGAGCCTCCATTCACAGTCACCGTGACCCGAGGATTGGACCTCCTGACCCGGCTCTCGTGGCGCGAGTCATCGATCATTGGAATCTCAGTGGTCGTGGTCGAGTAAGACTCCGGAACCACGGAGCGATCCGGTTGCTCGGCATCTTCTGAAGGCTGCTTCTGCGGCACCTTGATGGAGATTGGCTTCGTTGGCGTAGCTGTCGAGCCTTGTGAGGACTTTTGAGGTGTGTTCGGTGTGCTAGACGTTGTGGACAAATCGATCACGGTTCTCGTGGATGCTGAATCGGACGTGCTCAAGGATTCAACGCTCCTCGAATCCGCAAGCATTCCAGAGACCTTTTTCGCATTCTGCGTAGGCTGACCTCTGGCATGTTCCACATTGATCTCCGTACTCGCCTGGGCCCTCGGTGCGATGGAGGTTAGCCCCCGCAAGGCGAAACTGATCGTTCGCGATATCCGGGGCATTCTCGTAGCAGACGTTGGCTTGAGAGCCGGCTTATTGGGCGATGCAGCCTTGGTCGAGACCGGACTCTTCTGCACGGAGCGCGACGGCTCGATTTTCCGAGGTGCCGAACTGACGGAATGTGGGCGCTCGTTGGCATTGTTCTCGTTCTCGCGCAATCGAGTCACGGATCGAGCGGAAAGCCGTTCGTGAGCATTGGAGACTTGCACTTCAGGTTCACTGGTTCGCTTTTTCTTCGCAGACCTACGAGGTGGAGCACGCTTCGGCAAAGCATGGAACACACCGTCGTCATAATTGTCCATCCAAGCAATGACCGAGTTCGAAGACTTCTTCGTCTTTGCGAGAATGGCGTCCTTGGGATGAGACATATTCTGGAGAAACGGCTCCGGCCGTAGACTGTCACTGAGCTGATATCTGAATGGGGAGTTGCGCTTCAAGGGCGTCTTGGAAGGACTTATGCTAGAAGGGCTCAGGCCACTCGCCGGACTAGCTCCTCTGGTGACTCCCTGTCCTTCGAGCAAGTAAGGGATGGAAATGTTCGACTGCTCGCTCTCCATAACACCCATCATTTGAATCTCGTACATGCGCACGCGGGGTACGAAGATTTTCGATTGTTTAGTGACGGTGAAAGGGATTGGCGCATTCGGATCTTTCTTTAGAATCCGTCGAGCCTCTCGATAAGTGTCAGGGTTCCAGTACGAGATATCGAGCCAATGAGGGATTCCGTAGTTCCAATTCTTCGAATGGGAAGACCATGGCTGCCGGCTACTTATTCCAGGGTACGAGCCATGCATGACCGACTTGGGTGAGAGATGTGAGGTGCGACTGGCGAAGCTTGCGAAGGATGGTCGAGCCTCCGGAGAATAGCCCCCATTACGAATGTCTCCCCCGTACGAGGCCGTCTGGGGCCGCTTCACCGGCTCACGATATTTGAACAAAGGCACCGAGTGAAGAGGCATGGGGCTTAGACAGACCAAGTCAATGGCGATACCGCGGTTGGTAAGAGCCTCCGTCGTCGACGCCAGCGACTCGTAGGAGACCTCAAATACACCGCTTCCAGGGGTGATCACAATGATCGAGGTGCCCGTGTGAAGCATGTCACGATCGATGTGATCATAGGCCAGGTGAGAGGAAGCAAGGTGAATCGCCTCCAAGATGTTGCCGCGCAGAGCAGTGCTGGGCCGCCCTGCAATGGTTGCAGATTGCGCTTTGGGGGCGACCTTGATGCCATCAACCGTGGGCGTTTGCATCTCGTCCGGTGGCTTGAGGATAGAAACATCCCTCAAGAAGGTTCTGAAGTCCTTCTTCAGCTCATCTAGAATCGCCGTCCAGTGACCACTGGCCATATCATTGACGACCACGCGGTAAAAATCTCGGGTCGGAGCTGCATTGGTCGTAAAGTCACTCTTCCAACTGTCCAGGTTGAGATTGGACGCAGGGCCTATCGCCGTCGCATCGTATTCCACGCGGGTGAACAGCACAATAGTGACCAGGTGCCTTGCATCGGAGTTGGCCCAGCGCTTGAAGAGCTCCGGAAGGAAGCCGTTGATGACTCTGCTGAACAGGATATCGCCCGTCCCTTCCGAATCGAAGTCCCACATCTCCCGCGACATCTGGATAAACAGGACATACTTGGCCGACTCGCTGCGGAAGACGGGGATGGTCTGCGGGGAGAAGAAGCCCGAGAGGACCTTCTTGCCGCGGATGAAGATATTCTTAACAGTCGCCTTAATACTACCCATGAAGACGATCTTCTGACCCTTGTAGACGATTTTATCCGCCAGCTCGGACATGACCAGCCGCCACATGTCCGAGCGGACCAGGTACTGGTCGCGGAAAGAGATGTCTACATGGGAGGCGGAACACTGCGCGCGCTCCACGATCGAGATATGGACGGTAGTCCGGTTCTTAAAGCCGAAGATGTTGGCAACGGCACTAGTTACAGAGAGTTCAAGCTTGGGGTGTCGTGCTTTGATTTCCTGCGGCAGGGGCTTGACGACGAAGAGACATCGACCCTGTAAAGGGGTCTTGAATTTGGACATAGGGTCCGGGTGAAGCGTCGGGCTGGGCTCAACGTGAACGTCCCGTGACGACCTGGCCCCGAGATCCGCCTTGAAGATATGCGCCGCATCGCCGTTGAACCGGGCGGGCAGGATTTCGATCACATCGCCGATCTGCGCCCCGGTGTCGCTGAAGGCGGCCTGATTGAACAGGATCTCTTCCTTGGAGAAGGTCTCATCGTGAACCCAGAGAGAACATTGTCGTCGGTCTAGACTGGCGGAGACCAAGCGAATCGTCCTGTCATCTAGGATCGATGACTGCTGCTCGGGGGGCACAGCATGAGGGGCCTCCAACGACCGGGCAGTAGAAAGGGTCTCTATACTGGCAGCGCTCACTTGTCTCAGATGCGAGCGCTTCATGGGCCCTCGTAAAGACATGATCTGGGCGGTTATTATCGCATCTTAGATTAACAAGTCAGAAGCGATGAGGCAATGAGCCTTACTGGCTGCCCCAGGGTCCAGGTAGGCTGGATGGATTCTGCGGAGATCAATAACTCATTCGATGCAAAGTTACGGGGAAGCTGTAAGAAGTAACCGGGTTCGGTGGACATCCCCGTCCAGCCCCATTCGGCAAGCGGTCAAATCGGGATGGATGACTAACCAACTAGTTAGCCCGCATCAGCTTTTACATAATCAATACTGTTATTGCTGCCTTGGTGCCCCAAGCAGCAATAACTAAAGCCATCGACCCCGTGTCGATCGCTGGCTGGGATTATGGAGACTAAGCTATGATTCATCACGATGTGATAGAGCTACTGCACGTTGACTCGTTTTATGGTCTTTTTGCTTTCTTTTTCTCTCATCCCTGACGCCACCTGACTGGCTACTCCAAGGCTCCGTCAGGTGCTCAGTCAATACTGTGTGCCAAACAGACCTGCGATGATGCGATCGCCCTTTTTCCGATGGAAGCCATTGGTTGGACTCGTCGGGCTTCATCACAGCTTATCAGGATATGGCACGATCGAATGAATGAAACAGTTCCAGAACCGCAAGTCTTGCCCAATGCAGTAACCTACCGAGTAACCTACCGAGAGGGGGGTGGGCCACGAAGTAGCACCAATCCTTTTACTCATCCTCGTCTGAGTAAATCCACACAGTGTGAACTTCCAGGTCCGGGAAATTCCTCCGACAGAATCAAGACCTCCGACTGGAAGGAAGGCTGAGATCTGGACACGAGATGGAAGGTCGTCATTGCGGCAGGAGCCGGGATTGTACCCAGTGTGGCAAATAATAATTTGCATCTCCGGAGTACGGATACGCATTCCAGAATCTCGCTTATAGCCCGATGGAAGATTCTCGCCAGAATAATGACCTCAAACCACCAATAGCTGCTCCAATGCGACAGGTCTGGGGAAGGGCGGAAAGGGGGGTAGACGATCTGCAGATTTTTCGCGCTCTCCACATTCAATAAACTAGACTCCTTCCTTTTCAGTCGGCTGGGCTGATATTCCGTCCAGAGCGGATTCGAGATTCGAAAGTCCAATGTCTTTTCTTTGGTAGAAAAGTCTTAGATTGCTAGCAAGATGAAGAGGATCGGAGGCTGGATTCCGCACTAAATGAACGGGGTGGCTTTAAGACACGATGAAACGGGCACAAGCACGTCTAGAATAGTAGGATTTGGCTACTGTGCAAACTCAAGAGCAACCAACCTGACTTGACTGTTCTTGCTTCAGACTCTTCAATCCGGGAATAGTATGCTGATTGTGAGGTCGCTTCGTGGGCGCACAGTGCTCGTTTGTGCTGAGTATATATTCATTTCAGCCACGATGCCTGGTGGTTCGCTAAGCCCAAGGCTGTAGTTAGGTTACCATAAGTGGGTCAAAGCCAGATCTGTCGCTCGAGGGCTGAACCTCTTGAGGGAAGAGGAGCATCGGGCTAACGGAAACACAATCCTGGGCCTCAGCTCGAAGAATTCCGGCAATGGATTTCATTAGAGAAATCGGATACGTACTGTACTGTGCATGTATAGCGCTCGCCGTCAAGGTGCGGTGTCATTCTGATCTGCCCATTAGTGTATTTTGCAATGAATGCACACTAGGGAGCCAGGGAAGAAGGCAACGACTCGAAGATTTCGATTGGTTACTGTTTGGTTATCTTGCTGGAAGGCAGATAAGTTATGCCTCCTGTATGCCTCCCTCCCTGCATTCCACTTCCAACTCCAGCTTCAGTCGACAGTTTGGGTCTCGAGCCCCGCATCATCTATAATCGTGGAATCCTGATACGTAGTAATTCCGAGTAAGCACCGATCCAACTGAGCGTCTGGCGAGCGGGACGATGCGTATAATGAACCAGATTTGATTTGAGGGCGTGGATCACGCAAAGCAGGAGTTCCGGTCCAGGGCCGACGTCGGCTACAACCGTGGATCAGCCACGGCGCAAAATGCGCATTCTTCCAATGGCAACGGACGAGCAGCCCAAAAGCAACCTAGTGCTCAATTAACTATCCCACTAGAATGGGCTTTCCGCTGCCACGGACTTGACTGCCAGCCTATCAAAATGTACGACTGAGTGAGGTGGGCCCACCGTTGGACTGGGAGGCAAGCAATAGGTGCATCGAATTATCTATGCAGGCGCTTGCCCCCGTGCATAAGTTATGGCAGCACATCTCCACGGAGTAATTTGAGAAGCGTACGAACCGGTGACTACGCTTTTTCTTACCGCTTCCCAGAGGAAAAGAAATCCTTAGCTTTACGGGGTCGACATTGAGCACGACTCATGACGGTGCTAAGTGATTGAAATCATTAGCAACCAAGCGCTACTCAGGGACCACATTACCAAACGGAGCTAGTTAGAGATGATCCAGCAAGGACGGGACCCGGAATTAGAGCGGTTCATTACTGAATGACCAAACTCAGCACACAAACCAAGGGATGTGGTTGAACCGTGGGGCAATGGTCGGCCAAGAATGAGAGCTAAGAAGCAAGAGTCTGCTTTGCATGGGCCAACACTCCACATCGCCGGGACCGTCTGAAACTCAATCCGCGCTGCTGGGATTTTGTCAAGGGAATTCCGGTTCGACCTTCCCGCATCAAGCTGTGGGCTGATGTCTGTCTACTGTACTCTTGAATAAGACGTCAGAGGTTTTATAGTGAGTATTTGCTTTCTGCTCAGATGATAAAGAGGAACCATCAACAAGCACAGGCCGGTAGGCCCCGCAAGCGCATCGTATATCTGTTCTCACGGGTCCCTCCCCGGCACGTATTCAAGGTTCAAAATCAGATCAACTGACAGCGTGAGACCTTTTCCAATTCTATGAAGGGGTATATGTAGGGTTGGGGCGTAATTGAATCAGCTAAGGGGGGACAATGTAACCTTGTTGCAGAGCCGAAGCCGCAGGACCAACAGAGGATGTGGGGAATGGAGCCTCCTTGGAACAATTGGTTTTCGCTTGTCCTTTTCGGCACACTGAAATGAGGATAGCACTAGTGACCACCGGCAGAGTCAGTCAGTACGCACGAGGTTTCTTCGCAGCAGACAAGCCGACCATAGGACGCTCAGTCAGTTGCGATCTAGAATCAGTACTGATTCTAATTTTGAGTTCAGGGACAATCTCGGAAATCAGTTCTCCGCACGTGAGCCAAGCCCGTTCAGCAGACGGATCTTCCAGAGACATCTCCGTCAGCCAACGACCTGACTTTTCCACCCGATCAAGGACTTTCCGATAGTCGGCGCTTCCTGGCTTCTTCGTAAGCAATAACGCATGAAGCAGGATCGTGGTCGACTGCATTAGGTAATGCAAAAGATGCCAGCAAGGAGAGACCCGATGGACCCAGGCAAGGTCGAATGAATCAGGCAACAGATCAAGCATCTGGTGTGCCGACTCCACACACATCATCGCCATCATCTCACAGAAACTTCCCGGGGGTTCGTTGATGTCAGTTGCCTGAGAAAGTTGGATGAGACAAGGCTGTGTTATAAGAATTTTGGCACTATAGAAGCGAAATGCCAGATTTGTCCGCTCTCTCTGCAATGCCTCTGTTCCCTGCGACAAGTGAAAGGCCACTGGGAGTCTCGCAAGCCAAGCATCCACTTTGCTGTTCAGAGTAGAGATGGCTCCCTCGATCTCAAGCAATGGCCTGCGAGCTGCCCTTGGAGCATACAGAGCTTCAACGGATTCATGCATAATGGTGGCTAAGTCGACAATATATAGGAAAAAAAGCGCAGAGTTGGGCGTCGATTTTAGAGACTCGATGATACCAGTCACATCCTGTTCGCTCTTCTTCCCCGAGTCGAGCACTTGGACGCCGGAGGTTCCAGGCGAACCTTTATCATCGAAGATCTGTGGATTTCCGGGACATAGGAATTTTATGAGAGCATTCCGAACTTCGGGAAGGGCGATCAACTGTTCCTTATCATCGAATTCTTCTTCTGTGAAGGGCACCGGCAGTGGTGTTGTGCAAAAATCGTCGTTGATACTAGGCGGGCGACCAGTCATAACACAAAGCGAGCAATCCAGCAAATAGAGAGACCACCAGACAGTGTATTTTGTTTCTTTCATGACGTTCCTGATGTCGCTTTCGTTTCGAAGGTGAAACCCCAAGGTTACAGCCGAACGGATGGCGTAGCCACAAATTTTCCAGGATCTGAGCCACACACGATTAGACTACCACTGTACGCCAATCGTCCGTAGGGAATGGATGAACAATAAGACGAGCAATCGAAAACAAATGAACAACACCGGAGGGAGAACCAAGGGAGATTATTACCGATTCACTTGCCCAATGGACAGAAGGTAGAAGGATGTTAGTCCCTCTACCTGCACCTGCTGCGAATCAGGATGTTCTAAAAGCACCGTTCCGATCACTCCGAGTTTCTGTGCTCGTGCGAAATACACAGCACTGTCCTCAGGCCACTCTTCGGCGTCATCGGATGGAGAGTTGGTGAATTTGGCGGCGATCGCGAAGATCAGATTGAGCATAGCAAGCCACTTCCTTCCAGGCCCAACCCCAGGTCCAACAGAAGGAGAATTATAGTAGAGGATAGTCTGTCTCATGATAAAGGATCTGCGAACAATCGGAAATGATGCATGCACGATTGTGAAGTAGGTGTCCAGGAGCTGCTGAGCAGTTGCGAGAGGGGGCCGTTTGATTGGGTCTACATCTTTGATGAGAGGGATCTCCGAATCGTCCAAGTAGAAGCTCGCAGAAGCAATAGAGTCGCCATGGTTCTCTGTAGCAGGGTTCGAGCGTCGAATGAGTCGCTTCAATCTGCACAGCCATGCGATTTCGGTGTGCTCACCCACGAACCCCATGGCCTGTCGATCAAAATCTTCACTAGTGTAGTCCAGGGCACCTATGGTGAGAGTCGGGGTCGCACTAGACCCTGACGCACCATCCGTGACTGGCGCCGTTGACGCAGACGTTGTTACCTGAGGATCAACAGGCAGGTCCTCATCGAAATTTTGCTGTGTCTATCCCGTCAATACAGCTCTGAACCTATATCTGATTAAGGAAAGAGCCCACGTGGGCAGGGAAGAGATAAAACGGAGCCATGCATTGGGTGTGATGGATAGGGTCTTACTTCATTTAAAATCTGCTCGACTTGCCTCGCCGCTTCCGAGTCCAGCTTGGGCGACAGCTCTCGTAGCAAGTCCTCATATGCCTTGACCTGGGTTGTCAGATCGTTAAGCTGCCTAGTGCATACGAAATTAGATACACTCCGGAGATATCTGCGTCAAGGCTTGGGAACACTCACTTGGCCACCTTCTCTCGTTTGCGGTCACCATAAGAGCAGCGGATGCCCGCTTCCTGGCACCGTTGACACGTCGGGCGGTGACCGCTACATTTGGCCTTCTGTTCACGACAATTCTCGCAGGCTCGACTAACGCGTCCGCTACTGGTCCAGGCAGTCGAATTGGCCGACCTGGGAATACGCACCCTTCCGTAGCGATCGCATTCGATGATCTGCGAGCCAGTCGATGGATTCTCAGAAAAGCCAGAATACACCACCTCGTAAGGGCCGGAAAGGCCATGGGTTTGCTGCCGATTCAGCGAGGCGCCCAGGTTACTAAACTGGGAATCACTTTCCAGCAAATCCGATGACGAAGATGGAGTCTGAGAAGGGAAAGGGAAAGGAGGGGGACGGCTGTTGTCACTCATGGTCAAGGACGAGCCGGGAATCCCACCACGGCCCCTTCGTCTCGGCCCTCAATAGCACAGTCCGAGGCACCCAGCGACTAGCAACCTGGCGGTAACGATAGTGCGAAAGACACCCAGCCAAACTGAAGTATAAAAACGGACTATAGGCCAGGGGCAAACAATAGGAACAAGGCTGTTTTGGGAGTTGGTGGTGTAACAGCGTTCGGTACGAAGCACTGGTCTCTAGTTGGTCGAAAGAGACCCAGAACCAGCCAAGGTAAGGTGTGGTAGGCTGGAGACGACTGCCGGGTGGGCGACTTGCCACAGTTGGGCGGAAATCGGCTCGCGCCTCCCGAGCACCATTGTTTGGCACCATAACCAAGGGTTGTATACCGTGGTAACCCCATTTCCCCCCTGCGATCGCAGAAGGCCATTCAATCAGAAATAAACGACGAAATTTTGGAAGGAAAAAAAAAAGAAAACCCATATAAATATCAAGCGGGGTGACAATTCGATATCGGTGCAAGAGGGGAAAGAAAGAGAAAATGAAGAGGGGAAACCAGACCAGAGAGGCCGCCGTCTCGATCGTCTCCGATTTGGGGTCAGAATGTACGGACTGATCGTTATGGGAAAGCAAGCCGATCTCTTCTTAATCTCGGCACCTAATCTCTTCGTGACCTTCAGCAACTTGTGGATTCGAGGCCCTTCTTTGCACAACAAAAGTCTGGTTGGATGTGAACCGACTCTTAGTCCTGCAGAGGGGCTCGCTCCAGTTACGCCAAGATCAAAGGATAACCCGCTGTCTCGCGCAGATAGCGTTGCAAAACCGCCTCAGTACTCAATAGATACGGCTGACCATCTCGGAGACCAGATTCGATGAATGATTTTTTTTTTCGACGCCACCTGTACCCACCGGCTTCTGGCACTATACCCTCGAGGGTTTTGGTGTTCGAATTGGTGGCGGGGATAATATCCAGCAGCGATCACGTTGGCCATCAGTGTCTCGTGGCGAACAGGCCAACAAGGGGCACCAGAGAGAGAAAATTATCATCCCGACAGACCAGCAGCGTGGCTATGAGGACAGAATATTCACGCAGACCGTTGAGACTGTGGAAGATGATTGAATCAACGGCGTAGCCTGGCGGTCCTAATAGAACATTGTGCTGATAGCCTAGGGACAGCAATGCTCATTCTATCAGCGGTCGTTCTGCCCCAGGTGAGCAGGTAGCAGGATGGGAGCCTCTGTTTGCTCGCTGGTATACACCTCTCCTTATTTTCCATACCCACCTCTGTCATTGAGCAAGTCTTGCTCATGTTTCAAACCGCTGCTTGGATACTAATTTGTTTTCGTCAGTTAGCTGAGCAGAAAATAGAGCCGGTGCAGCCACGTCAGAACTCCCACGACAAGCCTGTCCACTTCCCACACTATCCGAATGTCGAGATCTGAAAGAGCAGAAGCACCGTGTGCTTGGTGGTCGCTTTGAGCCGAGAGCTACCGATAGGCCAAGTCACCTGGCCCGTCTATCGCTTTGTGACAGACCAGACACATCATTACCTCGTGCGCGTGAAACGAACACCTGAGCGAGTCGCGAATTTATCATACGTGCTGTCGATGTCTGCTACCTCGAGATACATCGACCTATCGGCACATGTGCACTATTTTTGGCGGTCTCATGAGCCAGTGGGACGACGCCTAGGGCTCGCCATATCTTATGTCATCCCAGTGGTCAGTGGGATCATGGCGGTGGCGAGCTCGTTTGAAGCCTGCGACAGTTGTGCTGTGAGAATGAGGGATAAGCACAATCACATAGCCCCAACTGTCACATAACATCTTTGTTTGGTGCAAGATGTGATGCTACTGAAAGGCTCCTCAACACTCTCTGTCCATGCAAAGTCGACTTCCAATCATGGGAGGACTTAGCGGAAGAGATCTTATTAAACTGGCCAATGTCCTAGTTCAAGCAATGCGATTCAATTGTGTCTCAATCTTATCAGCAACCATACTTCGGAGGGTGATCAATGACTGCGAAGTGCAGCGAAGGGGCCATCTCGGCCACGAAAAGTGTGAGCTCAGGTCTTATTTGTTGCGCAAGGAATCCTAACGACGTTTTTGCAAGACATCAGGACAGGAGGAGTGCCGAAAGTGATGGTGAGTCGGAGCTGTCAGGTGTTGCGGACTAAGTTCTGGCCGGACTTGGTGCCGTCGCCCCCTACACCTTCAACCATGGCGCGCGGGATAGCTCAGGGGTCTTGTGACTGGACACCTTTCCACGGAGGATATTTCACAACGGACTGTCACCCCGTGTGTTGAGGCTTTGAATACGGGCTCGGACCTGGTTGATGAAATTTGCCTGGCTGGCGATAGTGAGCCAGCAGCCCCGCCCGACCGGTGGAAACTGCAGAAATCAGCGGCTATGGCCATAGAGGAGAGACGAGGCAATCAGCTCATGACATCTAAGATTGGAGTGCTTACCTGAACATGCCACTTGCGCCAACGGCCAATCTGGAGAAGAAACGCACTCACTTACTCTAAGTGTCTCACGCCGACGCGGGAACCAGTCCGCACACCCCTGATCTCCTGTAGGTGGGCATTGGCACCTAGACGGAATTGAACTCGATGAGAATGATCAAATTCAAGTCAGCGGTGCGGAGCAAGCAGAAAGAGGGTTAAAGAAAGAAGTGACAGAAGGAGATGGGGGAGGAGGAGAATGCAGAAGACGGGGGGAGACGGTCCTGCCCAATTCACAGATGTGAGAAAAGCCCGGGCCTTGCGCGGCCATCACCAGACCTGGTCAAGTTAGACAGCCATGTGTGCGCGGGGCGAAATTGGTTCGTCTCCCATGTTGAGATGGTTAGCGTGGGTTAGGGAGCTTTTGCTGTCTGCGATAGCGGTTTCTTCAATCTATTCTTCTTTGGGGAATGCATCTACTGTCTAGTAGGCGTGCGCTTGACCTGTCATAGATGGATGGGATTTGATGTTGGCGGAAGATTGACTTGGCGTGGAAAAGAATTCCGCGGAGACTCCATCCATGATTGTCACTGTGCCCCCACAGAACGGTTGTGACACTGACACTCAGCCCCGGCCGGGCGGGACCTTGCTCTTGGCTTTCCCTGGGGTTTCCTTATCGTGGTTTCTATTGAAAGTGCCTGAGCTGACTCAAGGAGTTGAAGATAAGGGAATGGGAGTACTGGACTGGAAAGAGAAGGGGGTGTCCAAGCCGGGCCGAAGAGGAGGAAGTAGGCCGAAGGAGAAGAGTGAGTGAGTGAGGGAGAGAGAGGAGGAGAAAGTTCTTTGGCGGTCGGTTGGAGATTGAGAAACACGAACCTTGTCAAAAGGTCTGCCAGTCTTCCAAATCTTCAATCTCAACCTGAACTTCACCTTACCAGCTCGAACACGTCGCCGATCCTCCGCCATTGGTCAGAATCCAGGATCATCAGGGACTGAAGCTTCGACATCGGCTCATTCTCTCTTTCTCATTCTCTTCTAGGGCCTGATTGCCGTCTCCAGTACCTAGGGTACCTAGGAAAATTGATTTCAAGCGATTGTGGCATTCTTCCTCTCTGCGTCTCGGGATTGAAATAAAAGGGACGAACCACCATGGCGATCAGGAATTCAGAGGGGTTAAAAAAGACTTTTTGCTTCCCCTCCCCTATTGAGCCAATTCCAATGCTTCCAAGTTGTCATCTGCGACTGCCTTGATTTTGTTGCAGCACCCCCGCCGGTCGAACCAGAGATTTCCCGCTGGCCGAGTATTTCTTAAATTCGGCGATTGAGATGGAAAATTCGGAGGAGATGATCACACCCAAGCAGGAAGAAGGAGCTCTATACCCGATGGTCGGATCTACAAACACTCAAGCAGCCCACATGAGGTTCCAACTGTGATGGGCGGGCTGAGAACCCGAGCGCGCTGGGAGTGGGCATGGAAAGTTTCCAGCTGGGACGATCAGCTGGCTGGACTCGCAATTGGGTTATAACCGACCCGATTAACTGGTTAAATAAGCAAAGCAGCCCATGACATTCGTCGTCATAGGTCGCGCATCGAGAATCCCAGCGAGTCAATCTTGACAAGAATTGTTTCCCGTCCAGGGATGGGAGCCTCTGAACGGCAGTGCCAGTGCTAAACGCTAAACATCTGGGCACCACATCTGATAGGCAGTCACACTGCACACTGACTGCGGGGGAAAATGCTGTGTGGACACCACCACAATCACCCCCATCGTAGAACGTACAGTACCTACTGTACTGTACACATACTTGCAAGGGTGGCGAGATTTTGGAGTGCTACGGAGCAGGTACGAGTACAAAAGGTGGAAGTTCTGCCAGCCATTCCACCAGCTAGCCAGCTAGCCAGCTAGCGAGCCAGCCAGCCAGCCAACGCGACTGTAGATCACACACAGTTTTACAGAGTCGCATCACCGAATAGGCCCGATCTACGGCCGTAGATGGAAAAGCTTGCAGAATTCCCAAAGGAGTGAGTGTACTGCACATAACTGGCTACTTCCAAGTTACTTTTCACAGCCGAGTACGATACTACTACTACTACTACTACTACTACTACTACTACTACTACTACTACTCTTACTCAGCTCATGTAAGTAGGTACCTAGTAAGTCCCTTTCCTACATTTCCGACGGGAGTTGAACATTCCAATGCCTTGCCTAATCGGGGATCGGCCGGATGGTCGGCAGAATTCACCGATTGCCGGCCGAACTCAACTTCAACTCCTCCCAGAACCAGACAAGACATGAGCTACTCAAGAAAAGTATCAACCACATACATGACGATCGTCGATCGATCTCAAGTCTCTCTAACCTCTTTTAATCACTACCTCTTGTCTCGTCATGACTGATGAACCGTAGAAAACATAGCAGAACGACCGATGAGGTCGAGATCTCCAAGCGGCCGAAATTCATCGCGTAGGTTTCTCTCCCTCCCCCCTTGCAGTTGGCATCCCAGCAGATCGGCTGATGAGCCAATCTAGATGCCAGCGCTGCCATTCACATAAGATTAAATGTTCAGGGGGCCAGCCGTGTCTCAAATGCCGGCAGGTCGGCTGTGCCGATGAATGCGAGTACACGCCTCGTGATCGACAGGTGAAAGTAAGCGAAAGGTAGGGAGGACTTCCATACACATCACATCCCATGATTGTTACAGTCTACACAGGGCTTGATCTAATGCCAGCATTATTGCAGCTTCTTGCAACGCCTGCTAGCGGAGAATCAGCGTCTGCGCGAACAGCCCCGAGCGCCAGACCCTCCGACCGATGCGGATCCAGAGGGGCGCGGCGTCTCGGGGCGCGGCCCGTCACGAGTGCCGGCAGAAGCTCCGGACCTGGAAACTGGGAATCCCAACAACGTGCGCAATCCCTTAATTGGGGATCGGGCCTGGTTCCATCCTTACGATCCCTCCGCGCCACCTATCTTTATTGGGGAGGCCGCCTGCACCGCGTTTGCGACGCGCTTCCGGCGCTTCCTGACGGGGAGTAATGCCACGGCCCACATCCCTCGCACCCAGTACGTCCACGATGAGAGCATCAGTGCGGCCACCGCGGGGAAGATTGGCTGGCCGAGTCTGCAGCAGGCCCGGCTGTTGCTAAAGATCGCCCTGCGGCAGATCGGGTTCATTTACCATCTGGTCCTGCGCAAATCCACGACGGAGAAGCTCGAGGAGATCTACCAGACGGGCGACTTCGAGGCCAAGGTCCACCAATGCAAGTTCTTCGCGCTCTTTGCCTTCGGCGAAGCATACTCCATGCGAAGCGAGCCGTCCTCGGGGTCACGGGTGCCAGGGACCAAGTATTTCGCGCGTGCGCTCAGCCTCGTGCAAGTGCTGCCGGAGCGGACGAGCGTCGCCCATTTGGAGACGCTCTTATTGTTGGTATGCATCTGATCCAGATTATGGGGACACCGCTAACGATCCAGTCCTTGTTCTCCTATTACTTGAACCGCAGGCATTCAGCCTACGTGCTGATCGGCAGCGCGATGCGGCTGGGGTTGACGATTGGTCTGAACCACAACATCCCCGAATCGCAGTTGATCGACCCGGTGGAACGGCAGCACCGCGTGCGGATCTGGTGGACAATCTACATCTTCGATCGCATGTGGGGCTCGAAGATGGGAGTGCCGTCCCAGATCCTGGACGATGACATTCACCTGGACATGCCGTCGACGATCACTCCGATCGCGTTGCACGAGGAGCAGTTCTCGGACACGGAATACTTGAAGGCGAACATCAGCCTGGCGCGGATTGTCGGCGAGACGATCGCCAAACTGTACAGTCGACGCAAGTACAGCGAGACGTTTCTGCAGCGCGTGCAGAAGTTGTTGAAAGCGCTGAAGAACTGGGTGGAAACGCTGCCGGAGCATCTACGGCTGAACCAAGAGGAGCCGGAAACGAGCCGGACACCGGTCGGATCGTTGCATTTATCCTTCAACCAGGTACGTACGCCGTGCACGCAGGTGCCTGGGGTTACATGCTAACCAACCAACTCAGTGTGTCATCATCACCACGCGCCCCACCCTCCTCCACATCCTCATCAAGCTCAGCGAGCCCGAGTCGGAGGAGATCTCGCAGCCCGTGCTCACGCTGGGGGAGGCATGCGTCCACGCCGCCCGCCACACCCACTCCATCATCCTAACGCGTTGGATCAACGGGTCCATGCCAACGTTCGGCTACTTCCACGCGCACTACCTGTTCTCGTCCGCCCTGGTGCTCGCCATGTCCAGCTTCACGCCGATGGGGAGCGCCGCCGACATGAACTCGTTCGAGACCGGGCTGGAGGTGCTCCGCTCGATGAGCGAGAACGGGAACCTGGCGGCGTCGGAGTTCTACCAGCACCTCAAGGTGGTCAACGAGTGTCTGGGCCGGTATCTGAGCGACCGCCGGCGCAGCCAGAACGCGGCCGCGGCGGCGATCGGGCCCGGGGTGGCGGATGCGGTGGTGTCAACGGTGGCGGTGGATGGGCCGGGGGTCGAGGAGTTCTTGCCCGTGGAGCTCCGCGACAGCAGTGGGGGGTTCACGACGGCGATGGCGTTCATGGAACCGACAATGCAGGACTTCCTGGCGCAGAGTGATTTCGATCTGGGGATGCTGCAGGTGGATACGTATCTGAATGAGGGCGGGTATGAGGGGATGACCAGTAGTCATTAACCTGTCTGTTGACGACAAAAGCGGCGATGCGACATGGCAGGCTTCAGGGGTTTATACCGCAGATCTAATAATATGGTCATAAACGATAACGAACCGACGGAGCAAGTCCTGAAGAGATTTGAGTTGGTGGTCACATCACAGAGCAACGCGCCGCCAAAGGCAAAAGAAAATCACCAAATAAGCTCTTGTGCTCAAGGTGGGCGCAGCCTTATATGTCGAACCACCATAGCTACCTTACCCATTGCAGTACAATGATCACCAAAGAGTGCACTTGTCAGATTCGATCAATCAATCCGGCACGCCAAATCAATACCTCTACAATCTTTAGGAAGCTCCCAATCTGTGCCAGATGAAGATAACCCAACTTGATCCTCCTCTATCTCTGATCTTGAGAAAGCACCCCCTCTCTGCTTAAACATCTTGGCCACGCTAGATGTACATTTGATCATAAGCATACCAGTCCTTGTCATATGGGAGGGAACCCTCCCTAGTAGTAGTCAACCCACTTCTTGACTTGATGATCAAGACGGAACAAGATCTCTATCACGATCTATTTTAGTCTCTTAATCTCTCTATATTATTCTGTATACCCCTCGTCACGCTGCTGGAGGGTCACTCCCAACCCCCTCTCTATTTCAAGCCCATTTCTGAAACCCAGACATTACCCAATAAATCATAATCATCAGTCATAAGCTCATCACCCAAATCCCCCCCCCAAAAATCACGGATCCGACCCAACCCGCCTCTGCACCCAGCGCTGCATATCCAAACCCCACCTCGTAATCAGAATGACCAACACGCCCCCGATGATCGAAAAGAAGACACCTAACCAGTCATCAAAATCAGCAACCCATCCAAAACACCCTGATTACCCCCGGGAAAGCAAAGCAGAAACTCACAAATCGTAAACGTCCACCCGACCCCAATAGCCCCGATAACCGGATCCACGCCCGCACTGCTCCCCGCCGAGAACAGATACTGGATGATGTACTTCCCACTGATGACCTCGGACCGGCGATGCGGCAGCGCCTCGGCCGCGTAGGTGTTCAGCCCGTTGAAGCTGCCCATGAGGCCGCAGCCGCCGAAGAAGGCCGCGATAATCGGCACCGCCATGCCGCCTTGGCCCTCCTGGAGGGTCCAGCCGTACACCAACGCGCCGGCAGGGAGCACGCCCAGCAGGGTGATCAGGCCGCTGTGCAGCCGGTCCTGCGGGAGGCGCGTGCCGTTGCGCTTGACGATGTAGCGCTTCACGGTGCGGTCGCTGAGGCGGCCGCCGACGATGCTGCCCACCAAAAATCCGGCGCCGGGGGCGAGGTAAAAGAGCCCACTGACCAACGCGGAGGAGAGGTGGAAGCGCGGGTTGAAGATGGAGCGGGCGGAGGTGAGGATCGCGTATTGGAAGGTCGAGAGGAGGCCGCAGGTCAGGTCCTTTTTCTTTGTTAGTGTTATTTCTTGGAAGGAAGGGGAGAGGACGTACAGCTAGGAAAATGTTTGGGTAGATCCACAGTTTGATCACGCGCATCGGGTTGAAGGCGTGCAGAATGTGTTTGAGTTGCTCGGAGGAAGAACGGCGCGCCGGGGCTTTTTCATCCAGTGTGATGGACTTTTTGGCGTCAACCGACGACAGCTCCGGGACGAAGAGGATGGCTAGCACGAGGCCGAAGCCGGTCATGGCGACCTGCACCCAGTAGATGTTGCGCCAGCTGGCGAAGGTGACGATGATGCCGCCGATGCAGGGGCCTGATCGTTGTTGTCATCAGAGAGGTTTGAGCGGACAGAGACAGCAGGGAGTCTATACTCACCAATAGCTGGTCCGGTGACTGTGCCTGCCATGAAGAAACCAACTGCGGTACCTCGGACCGTCTGGAGGGTGTCAGTCGATGCACTAATAGAGAATAACACCGGAGCTGAAAGCAACTGGGCTCTCATCTCCTATAACCTCACCACCCCGTACAGGATATACTTCAGGATACACAGACCCAACCCCCTCCCCCCAAACCACAAGTTAAAGGGAAAAAAAAAAAACTTACAGGCTCCCAACAATCCGCCAAAACGGTCTGGCCCGTCACCATGAACCCCGTACCAGTCAACCCGCCCAACACCCTCATCACCGTGAACACCCGCATATCGCCCGCAACGGCCGCGCCCACCGAACACCCACAGAGCACGGAGATCGCCAACAGATATGCCACGCGCCGCCCGATCAACGCATTCAAGGGGCCCCAGATCAACGACGAGAAGCCCATCGCCAGCAGCACGCCCGCGTTGGTGACATTGATGATCTCTGGGGTCGTGGCGAACTCGGCCGCGATCTCCGGCGTCGCCGGGAGGAGACTCGTGCTCGAGAAGGTCACGGCGAGGGTCATCCAGCTCACGATGAAGAGGATGATGGCTTTACGCCAGAACGGGAGCTCGTAGCCCTTCTGGGGAGGAGAGTGCAAGGAGAGTAACGAGCGGAAGGTCCATTGTTGCTGTGGTTGGTGGGTATCGGTGTTCGGGTCGAGAGTATGTGTTGATGATGAGGTGGAGGATGAAGATGGGGACGGATGCTCGGTGGGCAGTGGTGTGCTGGTGGTGGTGGTGGTGGTGGTGGCGGCGGCTGCTCTTTCGAGGTCAACACCACCCAAGAATTTTTCCATGGCCGGCATGGTCTTGAGTCTATAAATTTTCTATGCAATTGAAAACTGTGCACTTGAACCAGCTTCTCCGAGAATGCAGACATTTATATCTCCCCTCTCCTCTCGGCATCCCGACTGTGTGGCCGAAGTGACTCCATCGAACCCATCGAACCGCTCGGCGATTCCGCTCCCACGCGCCGACCTCGGATCGCCCCGCCGAGCCGGTTGGCTTGCAGCTGCATGATAAATGCACCTCAACCCACAGTTAGGCTGCAAGCCGATGAGAAGTTGATTAACAGCGCATACGAAGAAGATTGAACTAGCGTTGCATCCAGGCTAGACCAATCTACAGGTCAATCTACACTGAAAGCACATGAGTTGGCATGAGAGATTTAGAACGAACATGAACACATCAATTCAGACTTAAAAACGAACGTATACAGAATCGGTTCAATTATGTACGGTTAAGAATCCAACGGTAAAGGTTACAGGTATAATTATTTTCCGGCTGCTTCCTCCACCCCGTCATTGTTCCATCTCTCTCACGCTTACAGCAAGATCATGCCGAGGGCAGCACCCACAGCAGTCACGGCGTAAGCGCCCAGCTGCCAGCTGCCAACAGAGACAGCCATGGGGCTGACACCCATACCAGCAGCACCCTCGGAGGAGCTGGAGCTGGCGCTGGCAGCAGAGCCGCCGGTAGGGGAAGAGGTCACGGAGCCCATGCCGCCAGTACCAGCCTCCTTCAACAGGGAAGAGCAAGTACCAGTGGGAGACTGGGAAGAAGTGGTGGTACCCTTGCCGCTGAAGTCACAGGCACTGGCCGAGGCACCCTGGGCGCTGTAGTACTGGTTCATGACAAAGTTTAGCTGCTGCTTGGTCGAGCAGACGCTGTAGGCTCCGTAGGTGCCGCTGGTCGAGTTGCTGGTCTGACCGGCACAGTACTTGCCGTCGTTCAAAGCGCAGATGTAGTCGAAGAGATCACCGTACTTGGAAGAAGAGACGGAGTCCTTGACAACGCAGCTTAGCGACTCCTCCATGCAGTCGCACAGAGCGTCGTTGGGGCTAGGGGGCAGAGAGCTGCTGGCCTCCCAGGCCGAGGCAACGGTGGGGCAAGAGCTGGTGGCGGTGTTGGAGGCGGACCAGCTGTTGCTGTTCACACCAGTAGGGGTGGCCTTCTGCATCTGAGACGAAAGGTAGGAGAAATCCTTGAGGGTGCTGACGCTGTTGCCGGAAACCGAGACCAAGCCATAGTCGTTGGCCTCCTGGAAGTACATGTAGACAATACCGCCGCTCCAAACGTCATCCATGTCGCTGCCGAACAGAACGGGGACATCGGTGAAGGTACGAGGAGACGGGTCGTTGCAGCCGTACTCGGAGAAGAAAGCGGGAACGGGGTAGTCCTTGAACTCCTCGGTACGAGCCTGGTATCCAGAGGTCTTGAATGAGGAGTCACCGCACCACTCGTAGATGTTGTAACCGAAGAAGTCGATCATGTCCTCGGAGTCACCGCAGACAAGGTAGTCCTTGAGGTCGTCACGGATGGTGGCATCGTCGTCGGTGGCGTAACCGATACCCAGGGTGGTGCGGTAGTTCTTGGCCTTGATGTACTTCTTCATGTCACGGACAGCAGCCTTGACGTAAGCAGCCGCATCGGTGTTGTTGTTGTCGTTGGTGACCTCGTTACCGGCAAAGAAACCAATGACGTTGGTGTAGTTGGCAAAGGCATCGATGACACTGGTGTAGCGATCGTACAAGGCAGTGTTCCACTGGGGGTCATTGCGGTTGATGGACTCGGAAGGAGACGACAGATCCGTGATCAGGTAGATGCCGGCGTCGGCCAGAGCAGTCATACACTCGTCGTGGTTCTGGGTGGGGTCGACGGCGTAGGTACGGATCACGTTGGTGCGGAGCTGCTGCAGGTAGGGGATGTCCCGCTTGCAAGAGGTGGCATCGGCCAAGGGGTCGATGTAGTCGTTGTTGTCCGAGGAAGTGCCATTGGCCGTGTAGTCCTCTGTAAACCGGTTAGATTCGCTCCTCGTCAGGATTCGACACAACGATCTATTGACGTACGCTGATAGGCGACACCACGCATGTAACTAGAATGATGGTTAGCCACGGCTGATCTGGATGTAAATTGGCAGGGAGACTCACAATTGGGTTCCGTTGTTAGAATAGAAGAACTTGTTGCCCTACACCAATCGAACCGTCAACGCCTATTTCACTCGTGTTTCCGGTCTTTCTTCCTCGCGGACATACCTTGATGGCAATCTCAGGCAAGTCGGCAGCAATGGCGCGGCCCAGGAGCATGGAAGCCCCCGCCAGGGCAAGAGAGTTGTACTTCATGGTCACCCGTGGAAGGAGTTATGAACGAGAGTCTTGAATCTGAATGGAGTGAGAGCAAAGAAGATTGAACCGCACCGGGCAGAAACAAAAGCCTAAAAGGAAAGAACGAGTGACTAACGGCGCACACACTGCCGTTGAAGTGGGACGATGTTATTGAGGTTGATTTGGGGGGGGAGAGGGAGGGGGGTTGGAAAGGAAAAGAGAAAACAAGGAAGCAGAAAGAGGGAAGGAGAGAAAGGGCGATGGCTGGGGGAAGGCGGAAGATAAGAATGGGAGCCCAGTTTGGCCCCTGCCTAGACTACTAACTGCGACGGAGTAGAATGATGGTCGGTCCATCCAAGAGGAACCAGATTACGACGCCTGTAAAAATAGCACAACTACTGAGTGCTGCTAACACTGATGGGAACTGGGAACTCAGGGGATCGCAGGCAACACTGATTGGACGATTACAGGTGAGTATCTTACGGCCATTGACGATGATGTTGTTGTGGTGCCTCCACTGTTTGTCTTGCTCTTGTTTCTGCAATTGATGACATGATGACAGACAGCTCTCTTCGATGTCTTCGACCGCGATTCTATCCACCACATCCCACATCCAAATTGTTCATCGTGGCACAAAACGGCGGGTTCGGTTACAATCCATTATTGTGATGGCAAAGACCAAAGTACTTGGCTGTAATCAGGGCGGTTCCAAGAGGGCGAATACCTCACTCTTACCAGAAGCCAGGGGTCAAACTCAGAGTTGAGACCCCAAGCAAATAACCCACTGGCCCCAGGACCCTGTTGGCTGATTGGCTCAAGACCCTGACCGTGGGTATGGTAAGGACGGTCATTACACGGTTCTTACCGTTTCAATGAAGAATGGAAGAGTGCCTTGTTCCTGATCCGCTCTGCCCTCGACAAATCAGCATGCCATCCCGGCGCTGCCGAGGGGCTAATCAGTCTGGGACCTGGCCATTCACCAGGTGGTGGGTGGGTCGGTGGCTTATTGAGATGCACGCCCACGGCTCAGTCGAGACACCCGATGGGGGGCCAAGGTGATTCAGATTTGTTGGTCGCTCCAGTCCGCCATCCGAAACAGTAGGAAGAAGCGGGCCTGTCGAAGGGGCAAGTTGGGCAATTTCCTTCTTGTATCGTGACCATACCGTGTCTCGTATGGTAAACTGTAAGGCAGACCCCTCAGACCCTGCCGCAGGGTCTCAGGGTTCAAAGGGCCCTGAGCTTACGTTGCCTCTGGTGCCCCCAGGTAAGACAAAGTAAGACCAGGTATCACCCCGTATCGAATACACCCTCTTCCCATCTGAAAATAAAATTCGTTGCGGTAAATGCCCTCATTCACAAGCGTGTCTCGAATATAGATGGGCAAAAGGCTTGTTCGAGTGGATCGAGGCTTAAACAATACTCCGTCGTTGTCGCTCATTGTCTTTTCTCTTCATGCATATACCGACCGATCAGCAGGAAGACATACATCTCCGGATGTTCGAGGGTGACTGAATCCGACCGATCCGGCTGACTGGCTAACTGCTGGATGCTTGATGCTGTGCAATACGGTGTAGTCAGTCCTTTTACTAACTACGGATCTCGGTACAGGTGGAGGCCAGATACTTACTCCGAGGGATAATCGGCTGAACAGAGGAACAAGCTTTGGGATCATCCAGGAGCGACATCCTAGTAGCATCACTAGTCCAATCACTTGAGTTCTCTGTTCTGTTTGTTTGTTGTCGGGAGGTCGCGTTTTCTCCTTTTGCCCGCCCCCCTTTTCTGGATCCAACTGGTGTCTACAAGCATCAACTCCGATGACCGTCGACTTCAGGATGACCTCATCGCTTGGATGTAGGCGCGACAGCACAGACATCAATGCAAGGAGGTCAAAAGGTCATTCTCCGACATTACAGCCAACCCTCGTGGACATGAAATCCAAAGGTGTTACGGCCTGCACACCGCAGCAGCGAAGAGCCCGCTCATCGAGAATTTTATAATATCGACGCCGCCTGCGTAACGATCCATCTTTGGGGCATCGCGGAGAGAAGGATTTTTGCGGGCGCTCGATCCGATTAAATAGTGACACAAATCTGCAGGCTTGGCACCAGTAGAGCATGGTATCAATATTTTGCGGAAAGATAACGACTAACCGACTCTTTTTTCAGATGCAAATGATGCTAGGATGCATGCAGTTTTCATTGTCCTAAATGTGGGTTAACACCGCTGACGCCCTGCCTGTCAACGCAGAGAGAAAGACAGAGGAGAGAGAGAGGCGAAGAGCGCGTGTGTGGCTGATGTGGCTGATATGGCTGATGACTGTGGCTTAAACACATGTGGCACAGGCGCAGCCTCTCACCAGCCACATGTGGCTGTATAAGCTCACGTGTGATTAGATAAGCGGTGAAGGAGCAATCCTGGGTCCCACCAACTCTCGGTTGAAACACGCCAGGGGCCGGAAATGTTTGAACTCTGTTGAATAATGAAATGACGCCAGCACCGAGAGACTGATCATGGATTGAATGAAGTGCACAGATGCACTCAAGCATGAAGCCGTTCCAACCTCTCAAAACATCCGATTGACGCCTCGTGCATCATCCCGTCTGCTGCTACTGCCCAAACTTTTCCTGGAGTTGCCCGCAATCCAGCCTGAGAGTGTGTGTACCGCAAAAACTGGAAGCGAGTAGTATGATAGGCAAAGGGGGGCAAAGTCCTCTTTTGGTGGCGGCCAAGAGTTATGCGCACATTGGTTCTGCTGCTAGTCGAAGACAATCGGAGGGCTTGGCAGAAGTGATTACGTCGCTGGCTGCATCCCCATCGTGTTGTGTTGTTGTGTGTCCTCTTGTATCTGGTCTGTCCAATGTCCAACGGATTGAAGTGCCTGAATGGTAGTCATCGGAGACCACCCATGGTTGTTACCTCTACGGTTCTACCAGTCCCTTCTCTTTCTCTTTCAATATCAATGTCAACAAAAGAGAATGAGCGGCGGAATAATAAGAATCACAAGAATGGCCAAGGCGGCTATCTGTGTAACTCACCCGTGGAAACACCATGACGATGATAATGCCGTGGAGATTGCTGGCGCTTTTGATTGTGGCTGTGTTCTCAAATTACTGCAGCTCGGGTCCAATAATGCAGTGTGATTGTGGTCATCCACCAAAACTTAATCTTCCTTCACGACTAGTGATCCCTTTTCAAGTGGATTTTCACTCCCTTGCTGCTGTCACTCGTTTCCTTGTCTGTCTCGCGTTGTTGTCATTACTGGGTCATTCGTTGCAGACATTCAACCCTCCAGATCTCCCTCTTTCCCCCCTCGCTTGGGTAGTTTTGGTTTTCTTTTTTATTATCCCCCCTGGTGGTCTGATTAGAGCACCTTTCCCTCTTTTTCGTTCTCATCGCAGTCTGTATTTTCCAACAGGTCGGGCTTTCATTGCCTTCATCTGCTCCCCTGTGGCTTCACCGAGGCGGCTGTGTTGCGCAACTCTCCACTGCTTCAGCCACACTTCCGAAGGCTTCATCGCACCCTCTCTGCTTGCTTCAGACTCCACGTCAATTTGTAAGTGCCTGAACGGCTTCATCCCCATTGGATCATTGCTGCAATGACAGCTGGGTACCAGTCTGTTGGGTCGCCTGACAAGCCTGGCGTGCTGCGCATCGAAGCTTGTTGGATTGCCATCGCCTTCGAAGATCTACTACTTTATCGCCTGTCGCCTAATATCTATGTAGTATAAGAAGCCTGTCCTCAAGAGCCATCACCTCTGTCCTGAACACAAACATCCGCTTTCACCGTAATCATGCGTGAGCCTGCCCCTTTTCGTGCGATGGGGCCATTTGCTGACCGTGCTCCCGGTATCAGATATATATCGACGACAAGCCAGAAAGTTGGCCTGGTATGACAATGAAGGCGAACCTTCGACACATAACCCCTTCAAGAAGTTCCGACCGCGACCGCGGCGGACCAACTCCATTCAACTGGAGAACCGACTCACTCCTGTCATCTCAGAAGGTGGTTTGCGACTCTCCGAGGAGCGCCGACGTCGGAGAAATATGACCCAAGGCCTGGCCGGTCCAGAGCATGCGGACACCTTCCCTCCCCAGTCTGCCGATACCGATCAGTTGAATCGCATCGACAGCGCCGAGAAGGCCGACACCGAGCGGTCGCTGCGCAGCCATGACCCCATCAACGTGCCGCAATCCGATCAGCCCGACGAGACGCGACCACGAAAGCGAAGGACGTTTCTGAACAACACTTTCCGATCCAGCGCTGACGAGGATCGCACGGCCGCCGACTCCAGCAAGTCTATGCCCGACAAGCAGAAGTTTACTGCGATCGGACAGTTGAAAGCCACGCTGTTCAATTCCTGGATCAATGTTTTACTTTTCGCCGCGCCCGTGGGAATCGCGTTGAATTATGTCGACGTCCCTCCGGTGGCGGTCTTCGTGGTCAACTTCATCGCGATTATTCCCCTTGCAGCCATGCTGAGTTATGCGACCGAGGAGATCGCCATGCGTACTGGTGAAACCATCGGTGGTCTTCTGAATGCTACCTTCGGCAACGCGGTAGAACTGATTGTCGCGATCATCGCCTTGGTTGACGGAGAAGTCGTGATTGTGCAGACGTCCTTGATCGGTAGTATGCTGTCCAACCTGCTCTTGGTCATGGGTATGTGTTTTTTCTTCGGCGGCATCGACCGCCTGGAGCAACACTTCAACCCTGTGGTTGCACAAACTGCAGCCAGTCTTTTAGCTTTGGCAGTGGCCAGTCTTATTATCCCTACCGCTTTCCATGCGTGGTCAGATGCTGGAGAGACTGGAATTGCGGAATTGTCCCGCGGCACCAGTGTTATTCTACTGGTTGTATATGGATGTTATCTGTTCTTCCAGCTCAAATCGCACACAGAGATCTACAACGCCCCTAGCCCCAAGGTGGAAAGAAGACGCCAGAAAATCAACGAAGGCGATGCCAGTCGGGGAATTGCTCAGATTGGCAAGATGACGGCCTCGATGGCTGGTGAGCATGCTCAGAACGTGGAACTTCAGGAACCAGACGATGAGGAACAGCCTCAGCTCAGCATCTGGGTGGCCGTGCTGACGCTTGTCATCTCGACTGTCTTTGTTGCGCTTTGTGCCGAGTTCATGGTACGCTTGATCCTTTGCCTCATCTTGTTTTGACAGCGGCTAATTTGATCAGGTCGATTCTATCGATGCTCTCACACAGACCGGCAATATTTCGGAGACCTTTGTGGGATTGATCCTTCTTCCGATTGTGGGTAACGCGGCCGAGCACGCGACGGCTGTCACCGTGGCTTGCAAGGATAAGATGGACCTGGCAATCGGTGTGGCCGTCGGCTCAAGTATGCAGATCGCGTTGTTGGTGTTGCCCTTGATTATTGTGATCGGTTGGGGAATGGGTCAGTCTTGCTGTTGGGGAGAAGAGTCAAAACAAAATGCTAACAGCTGCCTAGGGAATGATGATATGACCCTTTACTTTGACGGTTTCCAGGTGATTCTACTTTTTGTTGCTGTTCTTCTGGTTTGTACCTCAACACCTGCGCTGTGGACATGCACTAACCTCAGCAGGTCAACTATCTCATCGCCGATGGAAAGTCGCACTGGCTGGAGGGCGTCTTACTGATGATGATGTACTTGATTATCGCTGTGGCTGCTTGGTAAGAAGAACCCTCGTCGTTCATATTCTGGAGTTATACTGACTTGCAATGCTAGGTTTTACCCGAGCAAGGCCACCGTCACCTAAAACTGCCCGATCGGTGGGCGCCACATTGATACCAACTAAAATAATCATTTAATTGCCATGTCCTGTACCATATTTGATGTCACGATTTGATTAGATTCCTGTCTTTCTCTTGATACCGTTTCTTGTGTCTTTACGGGGGCTTTTTGAGACTATTACAGTTTCCACCTGGGATACCCGATCAATCTTTGAGAATAGCATATGCATTTTACTAATACCAATTCAATAATTGTTGGCATGTCCTCTGTCCTGAAACCTACATGGATGGGTCGTGGTCCTTTTCAAGCCAGGCAATTGCATTTGAGACTGTAGTGTTCTATCTGCTGCCGTTGAACGGAAGACATTTTGTTTCTGTTTCTGCTCTTCCATCCAGGATGAGCAAACGCACATCTGTTTGCTAACCACCTCCATCGGGTACACAGGAACCCGAACGACAAACAACCGACTCCATCTGTCCAGGAAACTCGTCAACCTTGTCTCTTGCCTTCCGCTACCAGCTGAACTTCTCTACAGAGCAAAGCGGCATAAGCATCGCTTGTCGTCCGCTGCCAATGTTCTCTCTGTTTTTTTTGTGACCACCTCTCTTTCTCTTGTATATACCTCATCCTGCTCACCAAAGCTCTGCCAAGTACGCAAGCCGGAATCTTCCCTCTATCTTTTCTATGACTACCATCAGTCTTTCCCCCACACCCCACATTGCTCATCATGCTCTATTCCATACACCCTCAACAGTCTTCCAACAGCAGTGTCTTAGAACTTATCACCTCTGGCACCCCCCTCGAGTCATTCCCCGTCGCTTCATCGCTTCTAGTGTCTCTCATGTATTACAATGCGCTTGCTCTTCTGTTTGCCGTGTTCGAACTCTTTGTGCTTCGGCTGATTCGCAGTACCTTCCCTGGAATCAACTCAGAGCTGTACCGCATCCTTGAAGTTTCGATTTACATCATCGTCCAAGCACTGACTTTCATTGGTCTTACTTCACTTTACTACCTCATCTTCGTTATCGCACCCACGAATATGCTTTTGTTGATCATCCCCGCTCGCATGCCGTTGAATCATTAGGACTATGCCCCATGTCCGCAGACACAAATACCGGTTCTATGCTTAAATCCTTGACTCACCTCCTCGACCGATCGCGATTTTTATGGAACTCGAGGCTTCACGGCCAGAAAGCTCCTCGTTGCAGCAATCATTGCTGCGGATCATGCCGGTGGAGGGGGGCCTGAGTCGACTGCTGCCCCATATCCCCACTTTCCTTCATACACACACAACGGTCGCTGTCTGACCTCAAGGGATAAAATCATCTTACAGCTGCTTGATTTTGAAAACTGTGCGTGAGCGCTTCTACACCCCACTACTTCAATTATGATAACGAGAGTTAACCTTGCCCATCTCTGCTAGTTAGTCTTACGACCGCGTCTGGAACCGTCGTTGCACCATCCATCCACTTACTATAATCGATAATCTCGACAACTGCTGATATCCCTCGTTGTTTGACACGGCATCTTCCCCAGGTTTATCAGCTCATGGGTGGTTCATATCATACCCTTCGCGTCGAACTCGATAAAGATCGCAGGCATATGTTCAGTCTCTTCCAGGGATTTTTCAACGAGCTCAATCCTTGGTGAGCTTTCAGCCCTATCGGCTTCCAAGCCATCGGAAAAGGAATAGCTGACGTGGTTTCAGAGCTTCCAGAAAGTGGCTTTGGCAGGTTGTTTCTATAGCTTGCCTTGTGATAATGCACCTCGTATGATTACCACGAGGCTCCAGTGATCCACCGAACCCCTACCACTACAAGACCAACCTACCAGCATGAAACCTTCTGGTACGACTCAATCCACAAGGCATCCGCAATGTCCTCGGATTTATCCGAGATAGTTGTGATCCCAGTAGTGCAGGTTCAGCCGAGGCTGCTCTTGAACGTCGACCTCTGAAGATACCGCGGGAATTGTGTTCTTGGTTGGCGTTAGTTTGGGCTCAACCATACGCCATAGATCTGTTTGGAGTATGATGCTACAAGGAAAACACACCAGCTTGCCGAGTTCGAGCGCTATCACGATGAGCACAGAGGCGAAACTCGGTCAGACGCTACTCCTGCTGCTCAGTAATGCATGCGCCTCACTCTGGAGGAGGCATGTAATCTTCGGAAGTTCAGCACTTTGGACAGATCGGAGGAGGATGAACCTCTGTGACCATCATCAGTGCTATGGTCATTCACAGCCTGGCTGCTCGCCCCGACCAATGTGCTTTAGTCTCGTCCCTCGGGATATGCGCACAAATCAATCCTGACTAATATAAATATCATGGATTGAACATGTTTGATGGAGTGTGAGCATTGAGCTAGGTGGTTGGGCACAATTGCTTTCGATTCGCGTTTAGCCCAATTCATGGCAATCGGAATGGAATCAAAGTCAGCATTGAGTTGAGCTAGCTTTGAACAGGGCCAAGAAGTTGAAGCCTGAAATTCTAGGCAACTGTACCGATGTTGAATCAGAGTGAGGTTTCAACCAACTCACTAGCGTGATGATAAGGACGAAACAATAAGAACGAACATCAACGAAAAGTCGGCCTCGGAATTGAAGTGGTTAGAACTACAGACAAAAACCTGGAGAACCGATGCTATATGCCCTTCAGTCGGCGAGTATGGGGTCACTAGAAGCTGCTGTTACGGTAGCATGTTTCATTTATCCACAAACAGTGGATTGTCACAACGATGATTGGACACAGCGTGCTATGGACGAAGGGAAAGATCTCCATGCCTCTGTTTCCGATTTTTAAGCAGACGGTACCATGCTCAAAGTGTGTATAATATCACTTTGTAACTCGAATCCCGGGATGACTGCACTATGCACCGAGTTCTTCGTGACTGACCCCATATTAGACCCTCTAAGCCAAATGTCATAGAGCAGAAGCCGCTGGGTACCATATCAGCACAGCCACCAACTCAGACCCGTGTTTGTTACGATGCTGTCGGAAATACGACTGCGACGCAGATAGCCATACATTTTCCAAGGCAGCATTATCCGTGGTACCAGAGCCTACCATACTGCCCTTAGTAATATAATTGACGCACTTGAATTCGTCTGGATCAAGGATCGAAGACTTGAGTGTCATGAAAAGGCTGTGTCCCTCAATATGAGCTTTACAGCTCACGGCTCTTATTGGAAATGTTGCGAAGAGTTTCCGGACTCTTGGTGGTGGTCAAGGTTGCGAATTATCTCAAGGGAAGATGCTGGCGAAATGCTGACTGGTGCGCGGACTTTTTTTTGGTAGGTGTGATATTATCTAATTATCACTTAAGTATAAGATCTCGACGCTCCCAGTTCACCTCCTCTTCGGTCTTCCCATGCAGTCTGTTTCAGCCCCACGGTTATTCTTGAAGGTGGTTTGTGAAGCGACTCCATGTCCTTGACGATCGCGGCACTGTCCGTGTGCACCCACCGAGCTCGACTACCTCATCTACGACAAAGACTTTATCACCTGCGGATATCCGTTGCCTTGAGCCCTGACGGCCCAGGCTAGCAGATATTCAACTCAACAGGACTATCAAAAAGTACACCGACCACCGAAACCTCCAATAGTTCATGACTGCTAACCAGTTGAACCCCGTTAAGCATGCTATCTCAGAGCTGCACTCCCATGCAGCCAGAATCCTTTGGCCGTATCTGCAACTGGAGTCATCACCTTGATCTGAGGTCATTGAAGAAGGGGGTGAGGTCAGGCTTACTCACTCGTCTATGTCGAGACGTACAGACCAGCTGCGGGAAAAGCTCTCGGCTTGAAGGGTTACAAACCCTCGATAATCAGGCAATGAGGGGTCAGAGTCCCTGAACAAGCATCCTGCATATGCTCACGAAGACGCGGCGCTTTATAACATAAATCGCTCTTTGCCCACTTGAACACGGCTATCTATCGGGATATTGTCGGGTGAACGTGCCAGATGCCACTCAATCTGTTCCAATTTCCATGATCACACTGATTCAAGTCTTGCAAGTTCTAGGGGCCCAGCATATAGTCTCAGTCTAATTATGCTCAGCTTGTTAGCACGTCCCTTTGGGTCCCAGCCAGAGAACGACATACCCAGTTGTTGTACTATTATGATCACTGGCCCATCACTTCTGACACTGTGAAACACTATTCTAACTTGCTTGCACTGGAGGCTTTGAAGTGAGCGTCGAGGCTAGGGAGTATTTTAGACAAAACACCGCTTACACCATCATCGGAAGTATCAGAATTGGACAAAAAAAATCAACTGTTGAAGACGAAAAGTGGCGTTGTAATGGGACGAGAATTGGTGATCAGCAGTCGGGGCGGGCCAGTCGTCGTCACCAGCGGATTTCCCCTCCTCTCTTCCCTCCCTCTTGCTTCTTCCCTTGGATTGTATTCTTCACTTCACTGCAAATACACAATGTATCTAGACTTCACTACCAATCTAGGTCTGAGCTCACTTTTGACCACTGTGCTCTCCGTTTTTACGCCCAGCAAGCAGGCTAGTGTTCTCCATCAGCCTGTTCTTCCTCCATCTTATCCATTGGCAGTGCGAAGCCCATACCTATCAACATGGATACCGAGCGATCAAGTCGGGAGACTCCCTGAGGCCGAGCCACAGTTCTGGACTGGCCAGAATCTCACCTGGTCTATTATGGCTCGTGTAGATGGCCAGGCTTATAGTCTGATGAACGTTAAGGGTTCTGATAAACTCATACGCCCTGCTACTGTTCGCAGTGCGGAATACACTGCCACGCACTCCATCTTCACTCTCACTGCTGGCTCGGTGACTATCACACTAGATTTCCTTTCGCCCATCTCGCCCTATAACTACCTTCGCCAGTCCCTACCATTCAGTAAGGCTGGTTCTCTGCATGACACTCATCGGTTGCGTGCTGACTGGGCTCTCTTCAGGCTATTTGACAGTCTCGGTTTCTGGAGCGTCATCCAACAATGTTCAGATCTACTCGAGCATTGACAAAAGCTGGACAGGAAAATCAGACTCTACGTCTTGTAGCTTTCTTCATGCAAATGCTACTGCTATGTACTCCTTGCGATCGGAGAATGCAATTCCGTACTCCGAGGAAAGTGACATGGCAACTTGGGGCGAAGCAATCCTAGCCTCTCAATCTACTTTAGACTCAAGCCTGTCCCATGCCTCGGGAGAACGAAAGGATGTGCAGTCCCAATTCGCGAGAATCGGAAAGCTAAATGATGCCAACCAGTTCTTGACGCCCGAGGGTATTGTTGCTGTTGTTCATGACTTGGGATCTGTTGTGAACGCGCAGTCAGTAACTTTTGCCGTCGGGCATGTGCGCGAAGAGTCAATCAACTACTTAGGGAGACCGTATACAGGATACTACCGAGCCTTGTACCCCAGCACAGAGCAAGCAGTTGCGTACTTCTTGAAAGATTACCCCGATGCTCTTCGAGAGTCACATGCCCTTGATTTGGAGATGGCTAAACAGGCGGCCGCCATTGCAGGGCAGAAGTACGCTGACATTGTAACTTTGTCGAGTCGGCAAGCCTATGCAGGGATTGAGATTACCATTCCTAACGACACGCTGGACATCACAGATGTGTTGGCGTTCATCAAAGAACTTTCCAGCGATGGCAACATCAACACGGTGGACGTCATCATGCCTGCTTTCCCCATCTACTATATTCTGGACCCAAACTATATCCGACTTCTGCTAGAGCCCATGATGAGGTATCTCGCCGCCGGACGCTGGCGGCAATCTTATGTGATCCATGATATGGGCTCACATTACCCGAATGCAGTTGGCCACGACAATCAACAAGCAGAACCAATGCCAATTGAGGAATGTGGCAACCTATTGGTTCTCGTGCTCGCCTATGTTCGGGCTACGGGAGATACAGACTGGGCGTCCCAGTATACCGAGCTTCTCAAAGGCTATGCAGATTATTTGGTCGACAATGGCATCGATATAGCTGAGCAGCTGTCTTCTAACGACGCCGCTGGACCTCTGGCCAACGAGACTAACCTTGCGATCAAGGCTGCCGTGGGCATCAAGGCTTTCGGGGAGCTGACTGGCTTCTCCGAATACTCGCGTATTGGTGACGAAAGAGCCGAGTTGCTGTTCTCTCGGGGACTGGGGATTGACGCGCACAAGACACACTTTGCGCTGCAGTACCCAGGGAAGCCGGCCTCCTGGAAGATCCCGTACAATCTTTACCCTGATGTGTTATTAGGCCTACGCACCTTTCCCAAGGCCGCATACGACATGGGAAATACTTTCTTTAGATCGGTCCGAGCCGAGTATGGTGTACCCTTGGATGATCGACAGGACTGGGCCAAGTCGGACTGGAACATGTGGCTGGCTGGGACGTTGGACTCCACAACCCGCGATGAGTTCGTTGACGACTTGTGGAGATATATGACCAACGGCAAGCATCACTGGCCGTTTTCCGATCGCTACGTTGCCACATCAGCCAAAGGTGGTCGCTCTGGGGTCCCTGTCTTGTGTCGAGCGCGGCCTACAGTGGGAGGACATTTTGCTTTGCTGGCACTGCAGGGTCCTCGTTGTCTGCAGCAGGCCGTGTATAGAAGACTTGGAGTGCTGAAGGAAGGGAACGCGTACGAGCAAGCGTTTTCGAGCTCTGAGCTCTGATATCAGATATCAGTGATGAGCATGTATGTAGTGAAGTTTGGTAGCCTGTCGGTGCTTTTCAAGGTCTTGTGTGACAGTGTAGAAAGGGTGGTTTGCTTCCACCACCGGCCAGGTTGGCCTGCCCTAATTGGATTCTGCACAAGTTCCTTTGTTCAGTTAATGTTACAGCTAGAGTATGCGTGTCTTATCTGGCCGTCAGTCCCTTGCGCCCTTTATATTTGGATTATTTGGTAGAGAGTAGAGAGCAAAAGGCCAACAACAAAAACCAGGGAAAGCGAGAGCTGCCCCTGGTGGATGCTTACCTAAGCGGGGATGTCGTTGTGTTGCCAAACCCGGCAAACCAAACCTCTCTTGGGTTGTCCGTTGCTTCAACCACTCACTGCTTGCTGGCTGTTGCTGTTCTCCTCCTCCCAACTCCCCCATCTTCCCTCACTTACTCCCACTTTCCACTCTTCTTCTTCTTTGTGTCTTCTCCCTCATCATCTCCTTATTATCTTGCTGCCTGTCTTTTACAGCCTCTTTCTGCTTTCTCCAATTTTCTCACCCTAGATTCTCCGTCGCCCCCCCCCGTCATTAGATTCTCCCCCATGGCTTCTGTACGTCTTGCCTGATCGCCTCTTCAACTTAGCTGTTGATGCTCAACGTCATGGCTACTTCCTCCCCTCTATCCTTTTCTCCATCCATGCGTTTGGCGATTCTCCGCACGCGCTCGCTTGAGGTATAGCTTGTGCAGCTCACTGACTGATCTTCTACCTCTCTCTCTAGCCCCGTCCTCCTCACAACTTTGGTCCTCAAGGCTATCCGCTTCCCAACGGTGCTGTCACTTCTGGTCCTGTCCCCGGCGCCACCCCTCTACTCCCTAATAATGGCCGCGTCTTGCAAAATGGTCCCGTCAGAGTCCTGTGTATCGCTGATGTTCGAGGTATGTGCTCCGGATAGACCTCCGGTGGAGTCGGTCGCACATAGAAAACACGATCGCTGATTTGGGGGAACTTTGTTTTGCTTTTTCCGTGACGTAGGAAATCTCAAGTCTTTGAATGAATTGGCTAGACAGGCTCGTGCAGACCACATTATCCACACTGGTGACTTTGGTTTCTACGATGATACCTCGCTGGAGCGCATTGCGGACAAGTGAGTGTTTTCTGGCGCTTCAATGGAGTGTCTTCGTTCGTCTTGAATGCGGCCTCGATGCATGCAACACATGTGATCGGATCGGTTCCCACTGACCGATTGGGCTTTCAACTCTAGGACCTTGAAGCACGTGGCCCAATACTCACCTTTGCTACCGGAGAATGTGAAGCGGACGATCGCCCAAACCCCTCCCCAGCAGTCGATCAAGCAACGATTCACTCCCGACCAGCTTCCCCTTTCAGAACTCTCCATGCTACTGGACAAGCGGCTGACTCTCGATGTTCCGGTGTACACTGTCTGGGGTGCCTGTGAAGATGTCCGCGTGTTGGAGAAGTTCCGCTCGGGGGAGTACAAGGTCAACAACCTTCACATCATCGATGAGGCCAACTCGCGACTGCTAGACATCGGTGGCGTCAAGCTGCGTCTGCTGGGTCTGGGTGGTGCTGTCGTGATGCACAAGCTATTCGACAATGGCGAGGGCAAGACTACGATTGCGGGCGGTCAAGGTACCATGTGGACGACCCTCTTGCAAATGGGCGAGTTGATCGACACGGCCAACCGTGTGTATGACCCGTCTGAGACCCGCGTCTTCGTCACGCACGCCTCTCCCGCCCGTGAGGGCATGCTGAACCAACTATCCGTCACCCTCAAAGCCGACTTCTCCATCTCCGCCGGTCTGCACTTCCGTTACGGCTCTTCCTACAATGAATTCTCCGTCAACCCCTCGCTGGATCACTACCGCGGCAAGCTGGCTGCTTCCAAGGCCTCATTCAACGATGTGTGGGAGACTGTCCGTGGAGAGGTCGAGACCGCCATTTCCCAGAACGAAGCCCAGAAGACTCTTCTGGACAACGCCCTGGAGGTGGTCAACCGGATGCCTACTGTTGCTAACGGCGGTAATCCCTTCGGTGGGCCTGCTGCTCCCGGCAACGCGGCCGGTCAGGTGGACGAGAGTGCGTTCAAGAACATGTGGAACTTCAACTTGGCGGATGCAGCTTTCGGTTTCCTCGTGCTAGAGATTGAGGCCGGCCGCATTGCGACCGAAATGCGCGCACAGGGTTTTAACTTCGCTCACCGCACTGGAAAGCCCCAGCCTGTGGCCCCTACCCAGGCCGCCCCCGTCCCTGCTGCTGGTCCTCCCGCCAGCGTCGCCTCCCCCCGCATTCCCGGCGCTGCTCCTCAGTTCGGTCAGGTGCAGCCAGTTTCTGGACGTCCTGGTGCCCCAGCACAGCAACCCCCTCAGCCCGCCCAGGCCAAGGCCTCTGCCACCGCTCCCGCCCGCACCTCCCCGGCTCCTGTGATTCCCAAGCCTGCTACTCCTCAGCCTCCTAGCGCTCCTGCCGGCCAGTCCGTAGCCTCCCCCGAGAGAGCCGCTGCCACCGAGGCTAACGGCACCGCTCAGCCTGAGAAGCCGTCCGAGTCTCCCTTGCCTAAGCCTGAGAAGAAGGCAAGCAACGGCCTCTTCGTCTCTAACGTCGACAACGAGCAAGCCGTGCGCGATCTCTTCCCCGAGGAAGACCAGGCCAAGATGGTACGAGTGGAGAAGTGGGGCAAGTTCAACCACGTTGTGACCTTTGCGACCGTTGAAGAGGCCAAGGCCGCGCTGGAGCGCCAGCCCGCGGACCACAAGAAGCCCAGCCCACCTGGTCAGCCCCGCAAGCCCAACATTAAGTTCTTCGAGGATCGCGGCAGCCACCGTGGCAATGCCGGCACATGGCAGAGCAGCACCCGCGGCGGTGGCAGCTCCTCTCAGCGCGGATACCAGAGCGGTGGTGCTAGCGATAGTGAAACCAACCGGGGCCGTGGATTTGGAGGACGAGGCCGTGGCCGGGGTGATCGAGGCGGTCGCAGCGGCCGGGGCGGTCGTGGTGGCTTCAACAAGGGTGGGCCATCCGAGTCCTCGGCTGGGGATAACAAGCCCGCTGCCGCAGCTGGGGGCGATGCTTGAGGTGTAACTGTCGTCGCATCTATTGATTTCATCTCGCCGTCTCCTTCGTCTTCCTCATTCTGTGTCGAAAGCTTTTCCTAACCTCCTTTTTTCCCCTCTATCCGTGCTCCTTACCACTCTTCCCTACTCTCTCATCATGCCTCATCTGTCTCTAGCATCCGTCCTACCTCAACTCATCACCCACCATGTTCCCTACGAATCTTGCACGGTCTTCGCTTGATACTTTAATCTTCTTTGTGCAGGATATTTCTTGTCTGCAAAAATGATGTCCTCTTTTTTCTCTTCCCTTATCTACTTTTCCACTACTCTTTTCTTTTTCCCATTACCTCTTGAGCGAGATGCGTTTGAATCTTCATTGATTTTTTTTCTCTCGTTCGTCCTTCTTTTTCCATGTAGACATTTACCATGCAACGATGGTAGGATTGTTCCACTAATAGATCAGTCTGTGTCCGGTCTGTCTCAAATTGAGATTCTGGAACCCATCGAGAGCTTAAGGAGTTTATGTTATTCGTTGGTACAGAAGCCACGGTTGAGGGTTGGAAAACGGGAGCAGCTCCACTGGTTTCGTGCGGGCGAGGCAAGAGGAGGATGTCAACTTACGGAAACTATGGGGTGGGTGGGTGGATGCGTGAACGAGAGAAGGATTCTCTTCAAGGTGGCAACGGTTAGGAAGAGACAAGGGGAAAAGCACTGTGGAAATATAAAAAAACAGGGGGAGGGAAAGAAGAGACACGGAGAAAGAAGAGCTGAGCGGTCTTGTGCTTCTTGTTTCATTTTTCTTTTATTTCCTTTTTTGTACTTTACATTTCTCTGTTTTCTCTATCTGGAGACGTTACCCAATATCGATACCCTAGTAACTTCATTTTGGGTTTTGGATTTATGATTTAATTGGTGTAGTATTGAGTAGGTGCAGGGGTAGGGATGTGGTATATATGTTCAATTACTATATAGTTTGTATAATTTTGGGCTGTGTCCTGGGAGGAGTTGCTGGGTTTTGATGGGATACATATTTATCCTTGAGGTCCTTGCGCTTGAGTCGAGGCCTCAGGATACAAGCCTCATTCTCATCAACTAGACACATGGATACTTCACTTGCCACCAGAACTATTCAGTATACGGAGTCCGGTGTGTCAAGAAACCTCATGAGTCGAATGGGTATGCTGATTTTCCGAAGAAAACCAAGCAAGCAAGGCTCATCGATTAGGGAACGCAGTGCATCTACGGCTGAGATCGCCATTGCTTCACTCGGGACTGTAGAGTGAGATAATGAATTTCATAACACCGACTCTGACTATTGATATAAGATGACATAAAGAAAAGGGGAAAAGAACAAAACACCAACAGGACTAAACCCAACCCAAAGTTCGAGCCCATCAATTTCCCCCCAGCCGCCTACCTCTTATTAACGCAGAACGCAGATGCGCCGCAGTGCCTGGCAACCAATTCAATCCTTTCCCTGTGTTAGTGAAAAACGAGACCTCCAACATGCGGCCAGAACAAGATACCTAATCAAGAAGCGCTGATTCCGAGTTTGTGCGGGTGCAAGTGCATGCAGGGCAAAACGAGGAAGGATTTTCTTTTTCGATCCCAGTAGAAGCATGCAAATCGAGCACATCGAGCCAGAGTTCGAGGAAATCAGGTACAGAATCCATACTCCAAAAGCGATGGTGGTGATGTACAATTTCTCCCGCAGGTTCCAGGGGATACGAGGTTATCGATGAATTGACAGAAGCACGCCTCCAATGATCATATTCAGTGTGCAGGGAAATGAATAACAAAGACAGAATAGAGAAAGAGAAAGTAGGCAGTGAGTGTGGATGATATATTGTAGTATGTGTGTACATAATTTGTCCGGAAAAACAAGAGAATATAGAGCTGGTTAGATTATACCGGCTGAATTTGGTCTTCGTTCGGATATTGTGTGCTGGCTCTTTATATAGAAAGAGCTCCCGTGTCCATAATGTTTTCCCAGGGGTCATAACGACATCAATAGCGGTAGTGTGATTGTATTGTAAAGGGTGGGTATCTGAAACGCAGAACGATGGTGTCGGAATCGGTAGCGACGGCGTTGGAATGTCCTTGTCGATAGATCGATGGTGCCTTGTGGGTGAGCTACTTGGCACGTCCCATGATGTCTTCAACATCTTGCTGGTTGACGACCACGCCGCCCTCGGAACACCGAGCCTTCATGCGCAGCTCTGAGCAGAGGTTGTCGACATCGAGTTCGCCATTGCGGAATTTCTCCATGGATTGCAGGCGATCCCTGGTCTGGGTTAGTATGTCTTGTTTTATGTTAGGTGATGATAGAACATACCATATCTTGGTGCAACTCATCATCTGTGCCTTGTCTTCCCCAGGAACCACCTCATCTTCATCTAGCTTGCTGTCGATCTCGTCAATCAGACTCCTCTTAGGCTGCTGCTGTTGCTGTTGCTGTTGCTGTTGCTGTTGCTGTTGCTGTTGCTGTTGCTGCTGCTGTTGCTGCTGCTGACCGGCTAATTCGCTGAAGTTGTGCGAAGGACTACCCAGATCCGGCAATGGGAATGCGTCGTCGAAGAAAGTGCCGAAATCTTGTGACAATATTGCATCTTGCGGTTCGCGCCAATCTCCGAACAATACCGGGTCAAATTGTCCACCATTCTGCTGAGCCAGCATCTCAAGAGCGGGTTCGGGAGGAGCTTCTTTCGAGCCTTGCTCGGGCTGATTGGGCGTGTTCGTGACGCTGACACTGCTGTGCCTGACCGCCGGGATAGGATTCTTGATATTGCCACAAGCCATACCAAGTTGTGCGCAAAACGACTCCTCGCCGTTGATTCCAGCGTAAGTACAATTACTGTGGTCAGTGTGGTGCTTGATTGCGGGCGAGTTGACAGATGGTTCAGGTGAGGTGCCGCTGGAAGAGAGGAACTGGCTCTGGTGAGAGTCGGACGAGGAAGACGGAGAATCAGAATTCGAAACATCTTGTACAGATGATGCATGCTGAGTGTTGTGGGTCAAGGGGAGCTTGGGTGTGGTATTCTTCGAACCTAAGCGTTCGCCGTTAGACTGCGACATGGGGCTAGGCGTATTCGTCGCAGATCCATTGGTCTTGACTCCATTCAGTGAGTCTCGGCTCAAAACACCAGGGACATGCGACTCGCTTCGTGAGTTAACGTCGTTCTTGAGCTTGTTGTTCTGTTGGTTCTTGCCCCATTGACCATTGTTGAAGATGTGAGCACCTGGAAGGTCGCCAAATTTGGGGAAGTCGAACATGAAATCATTGTTCTGAAGACCGGTGTAATTTCCCTTGGAGTAGGCTCCAGGGATAGCATTCATAGCCGAGAGCCCGTTTGTGCTGGTAACCCAGGAGAGACGTTTCCGGTACTCCTTGAGTTCAACCTGCAGACGCTCAATCTGGGCGCGAAGCAAACCATTTTCCTGGTTCGCATCATCCGATGCCTTCTGCAATTCATCCACCTTTGTTTCAAGATCCTTCAAATGCTTCTCCTTACGCTCGCGGAATGCCCGTTGAGCTGCGCGATTCTGTGCTTTACGCTTCTATAGAGAAATTAGTACAAGGGTGGAAGGGTAGATTACGGCGAACCGCGCAGATAAAACGTACCGAAGTGGGTTCCGAGGTCAATGGCTTTCTTCCCGGCTTCTTGGCTGTCTTATCATCACTCTCCCTTCGTTTCTTGCCAGCGCCTTCATTTTCTTCGGCAGGGCCGTCCATGTCCTTTCTCTTCTCGCCTGCTTCATGGTCGTCCGGCAGCGAGAGTCCTTCGGGCAGATCACCGATCAGATCCTCCGTCCCGTGGAAGTCAAAGTCAAGCTCTGGATTGAAGTCGAGGAAAGGACTTTCGTCATCACCATAGCCCAAGGTACCGGAGTTGGGTTGAGTGAGGTCAAACCCAGGCGATACATTGTAGCTGCTCGAGGATGCATTACCGGGGGTGGAGTCTGGCTCGGAAGTTGATCTTTTAATTTGGGTGTTGGCTTGCTGTTTGGGAGGAGGGTTGTTGGAGGAAAGCGCGGCCAAAAGAAGGTCTTGCTGGTCGGGGGAGAGGTACAAGCTGTGTTGATAGAGGGAGTTGTAGTCGGCCATTGTGAAAGAAGGATATGGATTGTGCTGGAAGGATGCTTTTTCGAAGCGAGAATATATTTGGCTAGCTGGAACGATTCGGTTATCTGATAGCTACGCTATAGCGTCTCGTATACGAAGCTGATAGGATCAAGTGTCTTGTCAGGGATCGATTCGACTTTTCGTTGAGCTATCAGGGCCGGGCTTCCCGCCCGTTCGTTGTATCGATGTTGATCCCAGAGGCTGAATGGGGTGATCGGTGGGCTCCTGGATGATAGCACCCGGAAGAGGAATGGGAGATTCGTTGATGGTAACGAGACCGATGTCACTGAAGCTGGACTCTGCGAAGAAATGTTCGACAGGTGATGATGGTCAAGGTGATTGAAGTGATTCCAAGTCCTCAGCGGAAGAGCCTTGCTGGGATGCAGAGAGGTAAGAGAAAATCAAGGACGTTCTCGACAAGGAGCCGTATCGAAGCAAGTAGCAAGCAAGCGAGTGCACAAGCCGCAACAAAGGCTGACGAATGACTGAGGGTACCACCGGGGTTGGGATAGGTCAGGAGGAGAAGAGGGGCTCGGAGAAAAGGTGGAATAAGGAAAGAGAATGATGATGCAAGCCGGTAGACTGACTGACAATGAAAGGATGGAAGATGGAAGAGAAGCGTAGAGAGGGAGGGGGGGTGGGTGGGCAAGGCAGGCGAAAGGACACTAAGGCAAAGACGGTTTCAGGATCATGGGGGAATGATTCGCTGCCTGGATCGCTAGAGGGGTCAAGGACCTAAGACAAGAATGGCGTAGTTCGGGAATTGAAGGTGAAGTGGGTGAAGTCGAGAGTGTGCAGTCTGCAAGTGAGGATTGAAAGAAGAAAGATGATGGAATGGAGAGGGCGGAGGGACGGAGACTGAGGAGGGGGGCGAGTCGCTGCCTAAGGCGGCAGAAGGCGGTGAGACTATTTGTGCGTGTTCATTGGTGAGCAGTAGAGCGGGGGAGGCACTTCAGCCAATAAAGGTAAAGTGCCCAAAAACCCTTGAGAAGGTCTCGCCTGCTTATAAATCGAGGCTGACGATCCTTTGAGTCTTTTTTCTCTCTTCGCCCATTCTGTTCCACGCTGATTGATTGGTTTCACTCACTCAGCACTGATATGAAGAACTGCCTATCGGGGATACACGCGGCTTCCTCCGTGCTTACTACCGTTGCACCGTTGCACTCAACCACTTCCCGGTCACTGCGCACTACGCCCTACTACGTAGACAATTTATTTGGTTCAACAGGAGTGACTCATCTCGCACCACAAGTCTTCCCAGTCTTCCCCGTGTTGAAAGCTGCTACGGACCGTACTTGTACTGTACAATAGTGGATTGCATGTCTCTGCGCCTTCCGATGACCGGGGCTCTCGTACCACTCGGGTGCCTCGGGTCCCATGTTCTGCAATGGAGATGATCTTATGGGGCTCTGTTGCGGCGTTGCCATTTTGAGAAACGTCGGGGGTAGCAAGCAGCGATTGTAAGTAGATCAAAAAGAGGCCAAGATGAGGCAGCTCGGAAACTCAATCTCATTTTCGCCGGAACTGCTCATCTCGGTCCAGTGCCACCCCGGCAGCCGGGGTAAACCGTGGGGATGGAAGGCCAAAGATCCGCGATTCCGGCTCGAAATTCCAGACGCCGAAACAGGCTCTCCTAAGTCCACCATCCATGGGTTGATCGACAAAACCCCAGGCACGAGCGAGGAAGAGCGGGCTGGCGTTAATACTAAGTATAGCGAAAACGCCATCTTCCAGCGACCAGACCCATCCTGCACTTATCACTTTCGCTGTAGAAGATGGTTCTTGTATGAATGGAGTTATTGGCGGATCCATCTTGACCTTGCAGGAGCCAATTACTCTCGCCATCGGTTTGCAATGGTCCCGAAAATGAATGGCGTGAGGATCGACTACCAATGGAACGGACGCCAACTAAGCCTCGACCCGTAGTGGGTTGATTGCCCTGATAGAGTCTGGCGTTTGTGCATGGTCGCAAGGGCCCTGATGAACCTTAAGTATCAGGTGCAGTGTTCCATAGTACATCGGATGGAGCCAGCCAGGATGGTGTTGACCGTCATGACATGACCTCGTGTTTCTGCATTCATTGACGTGTGCAGTCTGTCAGCGATAAGGAGCATGACCGAGTCCACGTTTCCTGTCGGACTCAGCCGACCTTCCGTTCAGTCATGTGGCGGCGTAGTTACCGACCACGTGATCAATCAGCCACAGTGGGGCTCCGCCACGCTATCTTATCCCAACGCGACTTCTTATCTGCAACTTCGCGATTCAGCCCAGCCTGTCTTGGTTTGACCATCAATAGACCGCCTCTCCTCATATTTGCTCTCTTTTCCATACCCTCTTCCCTCAGACCCACCTCATCCCCCTCAGGATTATGTCGGAAATCGCAGCCCTGGAGGCTGAGGTCAAGGAGTTCAAGCTTCAAGTGCGTCCGCCGCAATTTTACCACACTTCACTTTATCTGACCATCATCAGCTTGAAACCGTCCAATCGAGTTTGCAGGTAGACCCAGACAACACAGAATTGCAAAGTCTCAAAACTGAGCTGGAAGAACTTATAAACCTTACCGAAACATCCATCGCCGAACTGAAACCGCCAGCGCCACCAGCAGCACCCCAACCAGCCGCGGCGAAGGATAAAGGAACGAGGGACAGTTATGGCACACAGAGCAACTATCGCAAACCGACCGCTGAGCAGCCCGATGAACCGGCCCCATCCTACCAGTCGTCCTTTTCCGTCAACGAAAACGTTCTTGCGCGCTGGGTATCGGGCGACAACTCGTTCTATCCCGCGCGCATCACCTCCATCACCGGCTCCTCGAGCAACCCCGTCTACCTCGTTTCGTTCAAGTCGTACGGGACAGTGGAATCTCTGACCTCCAAGGACATCCGGCCAATTTCCAGCAATGACTCGCGTAAACGCAAGGCTGATGCAGGCTCAGGCAATTCTTCTTCCCAATCCCCGGCACCCCAGCCATCTCACTCGAGCGTGATCTCTGCGGCGGCGGACATCAACCCTGCGTTGGCCAACCAGGCGCGTCAAGAGCCGACCAAGGTGAGCGAGGGATCTGCACGGCCTACCAAGGCCGCCCGCAAGGTGAAGGCCAACAAGGAGCTGGAGGCGGGCAAGATGAAATGGAAGGATTTTGCCAGCAAAGGGAAACTCGGACGTAAGAAGGACAGTATGTTCCGGACAGGAGACGGATTGAATGCTCGAGGTATGCTCTTCCTCACTTCATACCATGTGGAGTGCGGTTCAATGACTGACTCGGACAGTGGGTTTTACGGGGTCCGGTCAACAGATGCGCAAAGATCCGACGCGATCGCGACACGTCTACCAGCAAGGCGAGGAAGAAGGATACTAGTTCTCTGAGTGTTGATCGATGGGATACATCCCGCCGTTACCTCGTGTCCTCTACCATGTATCACATCGCTAACGGGCTATGGTGACAGATCTAGTGCAAGTCGATCCTGTCGCATGAGCGGGGGAGCGATTGTCGATGTCCCCATTTGATGTGGTGGGATACCAAAATCATTGATAACGAATGACTTTCTTTTTGTGATTTATTACATTCTTATTTTACTCATCATTACTGCCGTGAGACCGGCTTGTTGCCATCCTCTTGCGCCCAAAGCACAATTGCTATGCTTTCCGTATCGCATCCATTTCAATCAATGTAGCTCAAAGTGTCTCTACGTATAGAGTAGGAACAAAGCATTTGAAACAAGATCTTGACGAAAACGTGCTAGGAGTCCGATAATTGTTGGGGTGTCGCTTACTGTGCAGTGCACACACCACTCTAGACATCACAACCTGAAGACTCTTTAATTAATGCCTTATTCCGTCTCGCTCACCAACACTTGTGCTTCTTCCCCAAGAAAGAGAACCGGCCCATCAAGCAATGGACGGTCTACCACAAGACCTTGAGGGCTGCAGGTGAGGGGGTGGCTTCTTCTTGTCCTGCGTCTTCAACACATGAACCTGCTCAGCAGGCTAGATCTACCGGAGGAACAATTCTAGCGTGGTTCAACCTGCACAATCAGAAGCAGAAATCCGCATCTACAAGCGCCCAGCATCGCCACGCTCTCAAGGTCACTCACTTACTTGCAAGGCTCAAGGCTGCAGTATGAACTCTTATCATCTTTTGAAGTATTGACATCACTTCAACTCTCCATCCCACTGGGACTATCTCAGACGACTCCCACATGGTATCTACCTCTCCTTTAGGTTGAGAGTCTTACGAAAGTGCAACATGAGCGCTGATAGTCACGAAGATAGTTTATACTGTCTGAATCTGATTGCCATCTGCAGACTCTTTTTGAACTGCTCAAATGATCAAGAGAGCATCTATTCTCTGGATCAAATGCATGACTCAGGCTGCTTGATGCAGGCGCCAACAAGCCACATTGTGGCACAGTCGGGAGGCCGCAGCGCGTTCACCAACACCGAACCATGTCTAGCATTCAGCGGCGCAGCCTTGTAGTGTTTGTGCGCCAGTCTTGAGCCCTCCTGGCTTCTACTTCACTTAGCGAAGACACCCATACCAATGGATGGTCTTTCCACAATAACCCCGGCGGGCAACACCTGTGCCAACTGCCATAACACGGATCAACTACTGTTGCCTTGTCCTTTGAGTTCAATCGATGTTCCAAGAAGAAAGGACAGCAGATCAAGAGTCAGAAACTTATAAAAGCTAGGCTGATGTCGCATAGACTTCCTTCTCCTGCTTCCACGCCAGTGCACTTTCTCAGGATCATCAAGTCATCCAGCAACGACCGATCAAAACCACCTACGCTCATCCGCAAACATGACTGTCGAAGCCATCATTGAGTCCTTCCAAGATTTCAACATCAATCCCTCAGAGCCAGAGGACACGCAATTCCAACCGCTCTGCTTCAACCCCCCAGCTGACCTTAGAGCAACCTGCAGTTCTCTTTCAGAGACCCCAACCTATCTCTTCCGCGTGGTCTCTCCCAAGACCTGCGCCAAAACAAGCAGCACATGGGTCCGTCCCAAGAGAGTCCTTCCTCATGAGGAAGACATCTTCTCTAACCTGGATGAAGACAACAAAAGACGCCGCATAGCTGCCCTCCTGAACGACCATCTCTGGTGGAAGGAGCCCCTCAACGACCCCTTCGTTTCATGGACCAGTTCCCTACTCTTTGCCCTAGCATACATCTATTACCGCCACTGGAGTGAAAGCGACGGTTCGCCTCTGGATCAAATCAACCTCTACGTGATCGACACGACGCAGTTCCCTCGCGGAACATTCATCCGTGACTTGGACTTGCTCAATGTCTTCATCGATTCCGATCCCCTTCCAAAAGGCAACGGTCTGGCTAGGTTGAAGGGTTGGCGCGATTCGAATCTATACTTTGGCGAGTATCTGTCGCAGGGCGCGCTGCAGATCAAGGGCAAATGCCAGGTGATCAATGCGCAGTCCATTTTCGCGGGCAACCGGCTCCAGCGCATCCAACCCGACTTCGCTGATATCAAGGCCAAACCGCAGCAGAAGCCGCCATGGGCGACCGAGGTCCGTCGCCTGCGCGAGGTGTTGGAGACACGCAGTGAAAGACGCATGCAGACACAGCCTGCGGTTCTGCGTGATAGCATGCAGGCGCTCCGCGAGATTGTGAACTTGTTCGAGAACCCCCCCTGGAGACTTCCCATGGCTGTTTACTTTGCAGCGTTGATGGGGGATCGTCTGGGTGAGAACGCGGCGACCACTCCGACTACAACAACACCGACCGCGGGGTCGGCTGCTGCATTGCTCGAAGGATTGCGATCATTTTACCGATCTTCCGGTACGTCTACCCGGTTTTTGTTTCTTCTTCTTTCCCCTTCTTTCTCTTTGCGCATCCAAGGGTGACAACAGATGGCTGATTATACTCGTGCCTTAGATATCGGTCTCGATTGCGACCATCTCAAAACGAAGATCATCGCCCCCGCAGCGATGCCCGAATTGACTCAGACCGAGAAGATCTTTCGTCTTGTTCACAAAGACTACACTCTGAGAAAGGCACTTGGTGAGTTGATTTTCTTAGTAGATATCAGAGATGTATATCTCTAAACGACTTTCCCAGATACCCTAGGCAAGGCTAGATCATTCCTCGGAAGACTCGGGCGCATCACAGGGACAGTCTCGGCGGTCGATCCTGACCGAACAGCCACGAAAGCGATCCTGTCTGAGTTAAATACGATAATTAAGGACTCGAAGTTGATAGTCATGCTTGATGCGTTCCCACAGCAGTTATCTAATTGAGGGGTAATGCATAAGGGTATTCTCCAGAAGGCTGGTGAAGTGGTTCAAGGAGATTGACGTCCAGATTAACCCGCAGTTTAGCGAGAGCTTATCGGGGGGTCCGGGGCTATCACTAAAGCAGTTCTCCGGTGTACTGTCCGGTGTCTATCTACTCATTGAGTTTTCAATCAGCTCGGGTTGGGGAGGTCCTTGACTCCACTATGCATGCATGTCTGCGCCTTGTTGGTCGATCTATTTTGCTTGAGGGTACCATCATATCGATTTAAAGTTCTGGTTGACAGGTTAGAGTTGCGATCCGGTTGAGTGGGAATTGAAGCTTGTTTTGACTTCTAATCATCGATCTTGAGTTATCGTAGGCGTATGAGCCCCTAGTCTATCTGCTAGGAGCAAAATGGTCTGTTGTTTCCATAGCTTTGTGAACTTCATATGACAGTCTCGCAGACCATCCTTCAAGCTACTGTCTCGAGCTCATGGATATCATTCCCACCCACGGTCTCTCTCAAGTTCGAATTCTGAAGGCGTTAACCTGATCAACACTGGGTTCACTTATGGAATTCCTTGAAGGTAAGCCTCAGAGAGATACGTGTACCTGCTTCCGGCTCATGAATTTGTGCTGAATGACTGACTGTGCTGCACCTGGATGGGTACCAACCAGAATTGCTGTGCGTACAATGCAGGGGAAATCGAATGGATAGTCTAGAATGTCCTCTACTGGAGCGCTGTTGACAGACTAGATGATCTGAAAGCAGATCTCTGCGTTGGATATCGATGAAGGCGTTGTTACGAATCCTCCCTTCCCCCCAGTTCTATCTCGCCCCTGCGCCACGCTGTGGCGCCCCCAACAATCTCGCCATCGAGACAGTCCGAGCGACACGCTAGTTGCCAGCGGCTTCTTGTGTCTCTCTTTCCTCTACAAGCTAGGTGCACCGTAAGAACAAAACAGACTACAAGTGATCAAAGGTAATCGTCATAGATTGCTGGAACTGAAATGCCTCCGGTCCATCCAAAAATAAAATAAACCCCCGAACCGAACCGGACGCCACGCTCGACAAATCAACTTGCATGAAACCCCCTTGTCAAGCCATTTCATTCCCATCAGTGTCGTGTCACGCCACAGACAACATTTGCGCCATTGCAAATTCCAATGCTGCCAGAACCAGGAACCAGAAAGAAGACAGAAACAAGAAATGCGACCTGCAAGATCCCTCGGATATGGGTGTATTCCCAACAGGTCTCGACCCTCAAATGAACATCGCGTCAATCCCAAAGCATTGCGTGGTCTCGTCAGTCCGCCGAAGCGCGCATACATAATCATACAGCACAGCAGCCGCGCATATAGCGTAATAATACAACCCAAAAAATGCTCCATCGTGGAAAGAAAAAATCGAAATCGAAGGACAAAGGAAAAGAACGAACAAGGCTTATAATCAATCAAGGAAATCAGCGGGCGAACTCGGTCCACACCGTGGTGAGCCACCCGGCCGGAGTACTCTCGGGAGAAACTGTGGCCGGTAGTTGGTCATACTCGCACCCCTCTAGAAAGGCAAGTACGTCGTCTCCACCTAAGCTCGTCGACCACAAGCTATTAGTGTTAACAACTTCCAGTCCGTCCACGGTCACAGGCGGGGAGGCACCAGGGTGGCCGACTGAGCCGGGAGGAGGCAACAATGGCAACCCATGTGACGGCGCTGCCGCGTTGATCGGAGGAAGTGACTGAGAATAAGGAGGAGGTGGCTGAGTGCGATTGAGCCAAGAGTTCAACGGCTGCAGGCGGTTGGAAGATGTCCCTGGACCATTGTATTGCGAAGACGCCGGTGTCGATGTAGATGGCGGAACGCCGTATGGTCCAGGAGGTCCCAGCGAAGGAAGGTTGGGGGATGACGAATTATACAACGGTCCATCTGGATGGTGTTGCAAAGACGGAAGAGAGTAAGGGGATTGAGATTGCAAGGCGCGATTGGGAGGTAATGGAAGACTAGGCCGACGTTCGCCGTCGGGTCCGGGCAACGGCATACCAGGGCTGTTGATGGGGACCCAGGACTCGCGTCTGCCCCCCGCGCCCTCTAAGGGGGGCTCTCCAGTGTCTCCAGTCTCGCTGCGGACGGCATTACTGCCTGCATCGCTAAGGATAGTAGCCCGTTCACTCGCTGCAGCAAGACCGTCATCATCAATGCCACTCTCCGGGAGTTGGTCCTCGATAATACCGAAATCAAGGAACAACTTCTCCAGGAGCTTGAACTCCTCCAGACCGCCGCCCGATCCGCCCTCACGTACAGGGCGAATGCCATTGGCGTGAGCGTCGGCCATGTCAGCCGGGTCCGATTTGCGCGATTGTCGCCGAAAGTCACGCTTGACCTTCGAGAAATAAGTGTGCAGCCGATTCAAAGTGCGGAACCAGCCACGCGCCATCTTGAGGCGAGGTCGCATCTCACGCAGGACATCAAGTGCTTTCCGGGCTTGCGCTTGCCCCTGCGTGTTCCGGTCGCTCACATTCTTCGGGGCCAGGACTCCATCGGGATCCATGTGTGGGAAATGAGCAGCGTAGATCCCGATGAAGACGGCATTGTACACTGCGAATCCCACTAGAGGGTTTTCTACCAGCACTCCGCGGTCTTGGCAAGTCACGACCAGATCCATCATTTGTCGGGCCGCGCTGAACAACGCCCGAGCACTTTCACGCCAGAACCCATCAGCAAGTCCGGCCTTCTCCATCGGAAAGAGCGGCTCATCCAATGGTCCGACAGGTTCGGTGCATCGTACCGGGAGGAAGGGGATGTAGGCACGGTGAAGAACAATCACCGACAGGAAGTGGACCACATGCATGACTGTGTAAGGGGCGAGAGTGTTATTTTTGTACATGATGTGGGTATCGGTGTTGCGAGGAGAATATTGTAGGTTGCGGGACAAGCCATCCTGGAATTCACTGAGCATTGCTCGAAGCTTCGAAAAGCGTGATTCAGGGTGCCACGGAGGCCATTGCTCGGTTCTACTAACAATTAGAAGAAATCGTGCCAAGGGAATGAGCGCAGACATACCTTCTCCCCCCAGCACACGACCATTTGGCGATGCTGCCCCAAATGCGAATTATCCGGATGATTCGACTGTGGACCGACTCCTCAGCACCGACCTCCCAGCGGTCGATCTCATCCTCACTCGAGTCTTTCCGACGGGAGATAGGAGACCACGCTTTTGCATCTCCTGGACCAGCACTCGGCATTCGGTCATCTCCCAAGCCTCCTAAACTTTGTCGAATGCTGGGAATTTGAACTCCCTGAGCACCGAAACTTGTGGGGCGACGCACAGCGGGCTCACTTAAGCGTGACGTCCGAACACGTTCTCCAAAAGCAAAGGCGTTATCACTGGGGAGCTGGATGGCGAGCTCCTTGACGCGAATCATGCGCGGGCGGTACTTGCCGCTGCTCAGACACCGGTCGAGGATGAAACAGGCCCAAAATGTCCGGCGCTTTGTCTCTTGAGCGATGACATCGTCGGAAGTTTGCTCCCGTTGCTCGAGAGGACGCCTGGGGAGCCCGAAAAGGTCGGCTTCCGTTTTGAGAACAGGGGATCGAGGTCCCTCGCGGAATGGCATCTCGTTCTCCAGCTCAAAGGGCAGACCCATCGCTTGAGAAAGCCGAATTGCCATCCCCACGTATAGCCAAGCGCTCCTCCCACGGCACATCCCCCATTCATGCAAGGCCAGCATCAGCAAGGCTTGTACGCGCGTCAGGTCGGGCACTGCCAGACTAGCACCATCAACACCGGCCAGCCGGCTGCGCAACGCTGTCGCATAATATTCGGAGGCAACGAGAGGGTTGGAGGGATTTCCAGGGGACGATGGGGAATGGTATGCGACAAGCTGAGGGTGGAAGCGTGCCGTAAGAGCGAGAACACCGAGGGGGATGAGCGGGTTGAGATCTGATTTAGTCGCGGGAGGACTTTGCGCGGAATCGCGTGTCGCATCGGCGTTGTTCGGAGGAGGGGGGTTGGAGGAGTTGGAGGAAAGGTGACGCGCTTGGCCGATGAAAGATGCGGGATGTACGAAGGGTAGCATAGTCGCGAAGTGGGATTGGAAAAGGTCGAAGACGGCATCCCAAACTTTGTTGGTCAGGATTGATGCATCCAGCACATCGGCACCAATCTTGGACGCATCTTTAGCAGCTGAGGAGGAGAGACCAACCGTCTTGCGCGAGCGTTGTCGCTTGGGACTGTCCCAATCGCCGTTGCGCTCCTCGCCTTCCGCCAGGGCGGCGAGGTCCCGTTTCGCGGCACCACCGCCCATACCGATTGCGGGGGCGGGATATACACATTCTCGGCCAGAAGACTCACACGCGCGACAAGTGGTGTCAATGCCAGCGTTCACACATTTGATCTTGCTCCGCCGACAGCGAGCACAAGCAATACTGGAGCGCATTCTGATGAAAAGGGTGGGCACGAGAGACGGGCAAGCCGTCTCTCTGATAAGATACAAAGGAAGGAAAGGACGGAGGGGACAACGGTGGTGGGTAAGAAGGGTTGAAGGAAAGGGAGGGACGACAGCCCCAAGGACTGCAGGCACCAAGAGCGAAGAGGTAGCAGTAGTGGTGGTTTGTGTCTCCGCAAGTTGCTACAGTTCCCGTCCGCCGTATTTCTCCGGTCAATTTTCCCCGGGATTCCGAGCCAGACGCCAGACGGTCTGGGTTGCAAGGGGGGACAGCAGCGATGCCCGGTCTTTTCACGGGCTGTTGTTCATTGTTCGCTGTCAGTACCACAACCCGGTTTCTGAGAGGGGGGTGAGGGGGTAGAGCTTTGAGGATCTACCGATGATGTCCGTGACGAAGCGTGTACTTACAAATCTTTTGAATGATGTTTATTGGCGTAGATTCTTTGCGTTCTGATGCCGGTAGCACGCAAGGGGAGTTAGATCTGAAGCCGGGAAGTAGTCGGTCAGTTTAGGAAATAGGTGTAGGAGTCGAGTGCTGGCGACAGCTATATTGAGATGTTCTCAACCAACACAGCAAGATGCTAGCAGAAGGGAAGGTATAGGAAAGGAAGGTAAAAAAAAAAAGAAAAAGAGAGGGGGGAAAAAAAAAGAAGTCCAGTTGGAGTGGAGAGGGCGTGGGATGAGTACAAAAAGGAAGAGAGTGGCCGTAGGTAGTAGACGGCCGGGGAACGGGAAAAATGAAACCGAATGCGATAGGCGCGAGAATTCGGGCACACGAGAAATTAAATTAAACCCCCGATGTAAGCAAAGTGTGCGACTGGGGGAGAGAAGGTGGAGGAGGGGGGGGGGGGGGGGAAGGGTGGGCGAGATGGAAAAAAGGAAGAATCCAGATGGAGTCTGGTCGGGTAAGAAAGGGAGAGTTCGGCGAGGCTAGTGTGTGTGTGGGGGAGAGAATGTGAGGATGAGGAGGGAAGTGTGGATGGATGGGGATAAAAAGAGGGAAAGAAGAGGAAGGGGAAAAAAAGACAACAGAGGCATAGAGTAATGGTAAGTAAAGAATAACCCTTCCAAAAAATCATGAAAAGAAAATCAAAAAAATTGTAGTCAAATAAAAAGGCAAAATAATAAAAAAACAATAAGAATAATAATAGCAATGGAGAGAGCAAGCAAGCAAGCAAGCAAGCAGGCAAGCAGGCAAGCAAATCGCCAGACTAACCGTAAAGACGGAATACGCGGAGTGTGGGGGAGAGCCCGATTCTCTTCTCGCCCAGGGTCGGGGCTCCGGTCCGGCAACGCGCGCGTGGGTTGCGCAGGGGACAATGTCTGGCAACCTCAACTCGGGTAGATTAGGGAAAGGGAAGCTTGACGATAGATGGAGAAATTATGATTCAAAAAGCCGGGGAGAGAAGGAGAAAGACGGGGGGGGTCTAAGATTAGTGTTAGTCTCGAAATGGCCTCCTTCTAAAGGTGGACTGGCCCCATCTGACAATGATGATGGTATAGACGAAGAGGAAAATGAAGTAAAAGAAGCTGAGAAGGCCGGCCGAGGATTGAACAGCGTCAAGGGAATCCCAACCAGGCAAGGCGCCATCCGCATTTGCGGAGGCCCGACAAGAGTTAGTCCGGAGCGGGTCTAGTGCGGCCTGAGGATGCAAGGACGCGACCGAGCGGCCGGAGAGAATGAGAGTGTGGAGCAAGATTCCGAGTGCCGAGATGGGAAAATACTCTGGTATATTTCTTTGAAGGAGAAGATGAAGATTATGATCTCAATAGCATGGTGGAACAAATAGATAGAGCCAAAGTACTTCGTATACTTCAGTCTTTCTGCAATGGCGGAGTGACTAAATAGTTGTAAATTCAATTAACGAGTACTATGTCTCCGTAAATAAGAAACAAAGCCCAGCACCTCCCGTAAATCAGGGAAGAGTCCCGAGTCGAGTCGGGTAAATTACCTACCCTCCTAGACAACCTGCTGGTTGGGTCACGGCGTCACGCTGGGTAATAATACACGGACTCGGGTGCCAGTTGGCGGCGACAGCCGATGTTTGCTTCGGTATGTTGGCTGGGCCATGCCGTCTGGTCTTCATCCACTATTCAGGTACTACTGTACGTATGTACGTACAATCACCCATGAGATCACAAAGGGGGAAGGATGGGGAGAGCCTTGAACAGGAGGGAAAAGGAGGGGAAGAGAAGCGAGATGGATCACAAAGATCATCAGGGTAGGACTCATTTTGTCGTCATGATTGATTCTTGCATACGGAATACTGATTGATCATTCACCCCCAGGCCAACTCCTGACTCCTGATCTGATCTGATCTGGTCTGGTCTGGTCTGGTCTGGTCTGGTTACCGACCGACCGACCGAAGGACTGAGAGGCAGAGAGACAGACAGGATGCCGGTTAGCAGCAGCCGTGTGTGGAACGTCACTTGACCGCCATCTGGCCCATTCCATTACCTAACTTGACCTTCCCCCAGCCCTGCTCCCGGCTTATTGTCGTCGATCAATGTCAGTCCCCGAGCACTTGAGTGATCAAGTACTCCGTGTAGGTGGACCAGTTAGGGTTTTTAGGGGCATTGTTGAAAACATTTATTGAAACGAGGGTCTCTCTAATCGCTACAATCACAACACGGAGACGATTAGTTGAATTGCGGCGATGGGGGTGCCAGAAGACATTGTGACCCCCCCCCCCCCCTCCCTCTCCGATCCTCCCTTCCCCCAGTGAAAAACGTTACAAAGAATCCGGGGATTGCATGACGCGAACCCCCAAAAAGACAATACCGCCGACCCTGCCACCGCGAACCCATCCTCCACGATTCATTCATTCACCCATCCATCCATCCCTTTAATCAATCCTTCTGTTCCATGTCTACATGTCTACACGACCCGACCTCCACAACCATCCAACCATTCAACCATTCCTACTCGGGCACACGGCCTGATCGCTTGGATGCTGCCACTGCCGCCAGTCACAGCCCACCGACTAACCCAGCCACAATACCCCGGAATGCAAGTCTAAACTCAACCCCAACCCCAGAACAGCAAGTGACACGGGTCAACCCCCGGTTAAGCCAAACGGGACGGCGAAGGGTAGGCGACGGAGGAATAACAACGACAAGGAGGGGCAAAAAGCAACGGCAACTGAGTCTCAGCCGACCACAATTTGTGATAAACCTCGGGTATCGACGCATCTGATGGGCGAGCCAAGACCTCCAGGGCTGACATAGTCAGACGGGCTCCTCATTTTCCCTCTCGTTGCGGAGGGTATTTCTCTTGTCGGATGTCTCTTTTCCCACCTCCCCTGCATCGGATCTCCCCGCGGGGGAGAAGAACGAGATGAGATCACAGTCAGCCGGGGCTCCCTGCGCTGGCCGGACACCCCATGCAGCACAAGGTTGTCTCATCTCGCACTCCCCCCTCCTCTTTCTCCTCCTTTCCCTGCCCTGCTGCTGCTGCTGCTTCTCTCTCGGACCAGACTGAATGAAGAGGGAAGATCGTATATCATCCTTGACGGGATTGGTTGCCGTCAGGGATACGGTACCCGATCGACAGAGTCCCGGAGAATCCTACTCGCTGACATTCAAGCCTCAAAAGGCCTGTGCAGCCCGATTGTGGTCATGGACCTCAATTGGCTATGCATCCTCAGTCCATTCTTCAAGAAATGTTATCATTGTCGTCACAGGTTGGTTGGTAGGTACGGTAGGTACCTAGTACCTCCACTAAGTATGCTGCACTTCCCATTTGGGCGAGTCAGTTCATTGTACTGTAGTTACATCAGTCTGTACGTATGATGATTGTTCCTAAGCCGACCGATCGGAGCCAACCCGGCAAGTCCCCGCGCCCATTTAACCGGTTATCCCGTGGCCGCTCAATCGGGCCAACCGGGGATGCTGATTGGTCTCCACCGCCACCCGAGGCATCAAGCGAACCGACCCCGCAATCACGGAGAAAGGCTGAGAAGCAACTTGTTGGAACAATGGAAATGATTCATTAGTCATGCCCTGAATGGGGGCAGCCAATGCGCGACTGGTGACTGCACGAGGAAACCCCCATTCCCCCAACTCCCCCTCCGGAGGTCGACCGATGTGACGACGGAGAGACACTAAGACTGAGGAAGGAAGGTCCCTTCTGCAGCCTGCCACTAAGCCACCACCTGCCCACCTGCTGATGTTCTTTCTGCTTGCAGTAAGTTCACCCGCCGCCTGTCAAGCCGCCGGAGTTGCTGGCTCGGGAGTCTGACGACGAGACCTTACCATGGGTGGGATGAGGAGACGCTGGTCGGCAAACCAGCAAGCAACAACAATTATTCCTAGCCCTGGAACAGGTTGTCTTCGGCAGACCATCACATGCACCTCTGGAACCCGGAGAACGACGAGTCTGGTCTGCATGCCAGTGACCCGAGGATCATCATCCCGACCCCTCCTCACAGTCAGACAGTTAGACGGGCAGTGACAATTCTTTTCTCTTTCAGACCAGGGGAAAGAGGAACTTATTCATCACAGTGATGATGACCACACGGGAAGTGTGAAAAATCGCGAAATTACCAATCTCGAAAAAAAAAAACCCCCAACGATCCCATGACCTGGCCCCAAGACAAACCCAGCCAAGCCATGCCCAGCCAACCACCACGCGAGCCCCTCTCCACTCCGCCCAGTCCTTTGAGAGTCTTACAACTTCAGCGAGTGACTCCAAGGCAATTAAACCTATTGAATCCCTCTTTCTATCCCGCTTTCGTCATAGCTCGGCTTTTTCTCCCCAGGCGTCTTCCCCCCCGAATCGGCCAGGCCCGCCAGTGCGGTCAATGAACGGTCGTCCATTCGTTGGCCTGTCCATGCCACGAGTTGCACTAATCTCGAACAAGTCTAGCCGCCTTCCGACGGACGGAGCACTACCTCTACTTTTCCCAGGCCTGAGGCACCCCCGATTCTTCTCCGGTTGCTTCGGGGAAAGGAAAGGAGGGGAGCGTTTGTCTAGTGGGCACAACTCTTTTCCGGGGCTGCATTTTATCCATCAATTTCCCTCACTCGCGGGTAATTACAGACGTTGAACTGACAGCTCGTCAATGTTACTTGCTGGCCATGCTGCTAGGTGCTCAGGCCTTCCGCAATCTCGTCGTAGCAATGGTTGCACCTTATCTGACTTGCACCACTTGTCTCGGATTTAACCAGATGCACGTGGGTTGCGCCCAACCCTAATTGTTTGCCGGGGGTGTATGGAGTGCTAATCCATCCTGCTACAGTCCAGCAACCGGATACTTGTCTGGCTGGCTCCTTCACGGTCTCCTCGTACCAACAGGTGACTTTGTGCCTTTCTTCGCTCTGTCATCGATAAGTCCTAGATAGGCACGGCCAGTATATGCTATCTTACCACCAGATTATTCGCTGAGATCGTCCGTCCCGCGTCGACCCCCTGAACATTGTAGCAACGGCTATGGGCTTTGTTTGTTCCCGTCAAATTGCACCCAGGATGCAGGATTCTGAGCGAACGCTCAGTTCCTAGCAAGCGGTCAATGGGCCTAGCTGCCTAGTAAGCTGGAGTAAAGCTCATCCAGGTGCCGGCCTGTCCCGAGTTCAGCCGCACCAGAATAAGAAGCCCTCTGGAGTCTCGATCCGCGTCTGAGAGACAGGATCTGATCCCGCCATTGAGCGGCTTTTTCTTAGTAACAGCTTGTCATGCGGACAGAGGATCTTAGGCGAGAACCCTCCCCAGCGGGCCTCGCCTGTGGTGGCTTGGATTGGCAGGCGACGGACACAGCCTGGAGTCTCGGGACTTTGGGGTCCTTACTTTCCGACATAGGTTCAACCTTCCTTCCGGATAGAGCAAGCCGATTTGTTTACGAGTACAATGTGATTGATGTGGGTGGAGTTTCGGATTACACTATGGAGTGTGGGCACCCGTTTCGAAGGATGTGTGGCAAATCGATGCGGAGGACGAGCAATAGAGCAACCGGACCCCAGACTCTGACATGTCACGTATTACCGTGTTCCCCCATCTTGTCCCCCCTCAGATCAAGCCGGTTATGCTTTCGCTTTCCCCTCTCACCCTTCTCCTCCTCCTCCCGCCGCCGTGGGGAGCCCGGTTACCCGGGGAAGAGTCGTGGTGCTTCCACGGGGATAAATAAGTCCGTAGTTCGGATGATCGTAACCTGGCTCAAAGATGACGAAGGGATGGGGGCATGGTTGACAAAGGTACAGGATACGTAGACTCCGACTGCTCTAATCCTAGAGCATGTAGGAGTAGTGTACGCAGTCGAAGAATGAGGCCTTCGGGAAGGTGGAAACCTTCCCAGTGACTTGTGATGATGGCAGAGCTCGCTCCCGATCCAACCGCCCCGGGATTTTCCGTCCGTCGGCCTTCCGTCATGCATTCAAATGAAGGATTGAGGACTGACAGCCGTCGGGAACCGGATTTATCGATTGCTCTATCGTGTCTATGCTTGCGTACGACCGAGGTGAGATCGGGACTTCGTGAACTAAACCTACTGTCTGCCATTGCTGGCCGTGATGGACTTGCCCTCGAGGTCGGGTTGATGAGCTTCCGACTTCGGCCAGATCCTGCAGTCCTCATACGTGCATGCCCTCCAATAGTGCATTGTGTTGTACAATGTCTACTTCCCTTATGCTAGCTATGCCAATGGAATACGCACATCCGGAGCAATGGCCGGCACTATCTCCTTCCCAAGGCCTGCCTCGGATAATCTACCAAAGGTAGCATTCTTGAAGGTGACTAAGTCGTATTATCTCCGATTCTTTTGTCCTGGCCCCGATGTGCTCGGATTGTTCCCATGCCGATGTTCATGTAACTGGATCAAGGTATAACTTAAGGAATAGGATTCGCATTCTATGTGCGGAAGTTATGTACAGCACCTACCGCCTCGGCCGAATAGATCTCCCTCGCGAAGCCCCTCCACCGGTAGAGAGGAGAGCTTGTATTGTAGTTGTGACGGTCATCACTTGTTATATATCCTTCTCATGTGCAGGGTCTTCCAAATTATGTTTCTATGGTCTGGGCTGTGTATCCCCAATCGTGAGGGCGGCGGTAATGGGTTGGAGTTTGAACGGCAGACTGCATCGGAAATATATTCCCGATGGTCTTCGCATCGGACACTGAATGTAGCGGAGATGTTGTTTTTACAATCTAGACATGGAGAATGTCTAGGTCTATCTGTTTTCAACAGTTTAAGCTATTCAGTCTGGTTTTCTGGGATTGAGTTTTTTTTTGACTTGGTGGTAGTGTAAATGACTTGGGCGGTCGAGGCGGGTGGTGGGACATGTTACGGCATCACAGAGTAAGAGGACGGACTTGTGGACGTGGATACTCCGTCATGTCATTTGTAGACATGCGCTATGAATTGTTCGAGACTAAAGTATCTGTCGACGTCTACTGATTGATGTATGCGGTCCGAATCCATTGGGTCGAATCATACGAGGGAAGGAAGGCGTAACTACCCTGTCCCATCGAGCAAGGCTCTTCTTGCAGGACTCATGATCGCTTACTGTATGTAGTATGTCAATTTCCCGCAAAGATATACAAGCTTGACAGCGCACCTGGCGCGTTCGATTCGAAGGTGAGCTAAGCCCTTCGTGAATGGCTGGAAACTCAACGCTAAATAGAAAGTGATTGGGAGATGACGCCTTTTTCTCAGAGACCGATATTCCCCATGAACGCCCGCATGCAACGCCGTAAATAAACACCCAAGAGAAAACAGTCGTCCAGGTAGCTCATGACAATAAGTGCGCAAATAGATTACTGCCGGCTCTGCATCCGTCCGAACAAGAAGAACGAGCCCCATCCTCGGTGTGTCGCGGCCGTTTCAGATACATCAGGCTTCTCGACCTGGCCCGCGGCCTCTTGCGCTCGAGACGCGGACCGGGTTTCAGTGTCTGCGCGGATGCCGACCCGGTTCAACTGGCTTGTCGGCGTTTTGACGATCGACCCCCGTTCGATGTCCGGGGTGATGCGCTCGGTTGAGTAGAGCGCTTCGCGCATCTGCCAGCGCCGTTTCTTGAACACGATGAAGATGGTTGTGAACGAGACTGCGCTTTCGTGATTAGCGGGATGGTTTCAGCGGGACTCTCCCCTTTTCTGGGCGATTTAGACGTGGAGGGACCTACTTCCAACGACGATAACTAAAGCGACGATCGTGCATAGGATGATCATGCCTTTCGAGGAGACGCTTTTCGTCTCCGAGGTCGACGCGGAGTCATCCTTCTCCTGGCCATCTACCGCGTCGAGCACGCTCTGCGCACAGGCCTGCGCGATCAGCGCTGCAATGATAGCGGGCAAGGAAAGCCGCCTCAAGAGCATAGCGCTGTGTTCTATGTGCGGGTTTATTGACGATCGGGGAGAAGGAGGGTTGGTGGAAGATCTTGATCGGCGATGCACAGCGTTGTGTGACTTGAAATCTGGGCGAGAAGAGAATTGTCAGTGAAGTGGGAAAGCAGGGGGAAATATGAGAAAAGAGCTTCTGCAGACTGGGTGACTATGCTTGGGCTTGACTCCTCTGCACGTTCACCATCTAGGGGTTGTGGTGTTTCGAGAAGAGGAGCTATCCTTGACTGTTCGCTTGTGATAGGCTCGCTGGAGACAGCCTTGATCTCTGCTGGATGGACATAAAGTCGTCAGCTGCATCCATTAGACCTGTAGAATGGACGTTTCATTGCTCAGGTGCTTGAAACATTGTATCAAATCAGAGGCGAAATGCGCTCGGAGAAGGCGTGGTGTCGGCGCCTGCAAGTGACCAATGGTTCGATTGGGTCGGGCCCGTTTGTCGCTGGGGGGAGAAGGGTGGGTTAAGCGCGCCGTCTACTCCGCAGAAAGGTCCTCCTCAATACCTACTATGCTGCACTCTATATGACATGACTGTCTCCCGGTCCAATATTAGGATAGCGGTGCAGGGAGCTGCAAATAGCTTTGTTTTGTGCGGATGTCACACTCAATTTAGCAACACGATGAAGAATCGTCGATTCTGCAGAAGACCAAAAGAGTATCGCGCATCTTGGACACATTAGCGTGATGAATGATCTTTTTCACCCCGGGGTTTGTATGATTGTACCCCAAAGTTTGAAGCTCAAGTAAATGCGATGTCGAAAGGTGGTGGGTTCTCTCGTCGCAATGAGGGAAGGCTCCTCACTGCTGGCTAATGGTGTGGATTGCCGCAGATGGAAGGCACTCGGCGATACCTACTAAACTGGTAGGTGCCCCCCCAGTGAGGTACCTACCTAAGAATCTTTACCAGAAATGAACTTCAGTCTATCCTTCTTCACCTAAGACTCTTTGCCTACACTGTTCTTAGCTGCTGTCCTTCGTCATCGTCATTCCTTGCTCATTCTCTTTGTCGTGCCATAGACCGACAGCTACGTCGATATGCAGACTAGCGAGATGTCGAAGATGGCTAACGAGACACCACCAAGCCTTATCACCGCAACAGCCGGCACAGACAGCACGTTCGATGAGGTAGAGGAACTGTTCTTGCTCCAGGTGGCGGTTGCCAACAACGAGCCTCTTTCCCCACAACTCCAGGCTGTAATGGCGACCCAAGACACTACAGCTCCAACCAACAAACCTGCGGAGAGACGTCCATCGCCGTTACTTATGGAGCGACCGAGAAGTTCTGGTCTGGACCTATCGGCCTTTTCTTTTGCAAAGCCTGCAAAAGGCCGCAAGCCATTCACTCTTCAGGCATCGACTAAGCCATCATCGTCCACAGCTGCGCTGCACAATAGTACCATTCAGCACGAGCATGGTGCAGGAGAGCCCTTGAATGAGGCAACTAGAAGCTTACCAGGGTAAGTCGCTCCTGAGGACTGGAAGGAGGGGCTGTAGTACAGACCACTAAGTCAACCTTCTCGAACTAGTGATCAACAAACATCTAGCACGCAAAAGCCACAAACTCGGACCCCACAGATCAAGAAACAGGATTCTAGGCAGCCTTGTTCCCCGCCGTCTGACAAGGGCTTGCATGGTTCGAGTTCTGAGAAGGCTGTGGTGCCTCATGCAGACAAGTTGCCTATGAGTGCCGAACACGGGACCCTTGTGTTCGATTCATCCAGTGAGTGGACCCGATTTTCCGAATCCAAAGGTACCTGGCTTCTGACAATGCTCGTAGAAAAAGACAACGAGATGAGGAAAACCTCTAGTCCTCCGAGCCATCATCCAATTTCCCAAGCACCTGCAGTCAGCAGGGCCGACAATCATGGTCCTCCTTTGGGTGATGAGCACAATGCACCAAAACCTATGCATGCAGCACAGGATCTGGTTCCACAAATGCAGATCTCAGAGGCCAGTGAGATGGCTCAAACATACCCGGTGGGCCATGAAAGCGAGAAGTATAGGGTCTCTAAGCGCCGCCGCTCCAGCAAAACTCGTCACTCACGCAATGTCAGACCAACTCGCATACCATCAGGGGATGATGGCTCTTCCTTGTCCGAAGAGAGTCTATTTCATTTGCTAATCGGACGGATCAAAGCTCGTGAAGAAAATGAGGCTGCCGCGGTCGAATTGAAAGAGCAGATGGAAGCTTGCATCTCTGGCCTAGCTGACGAAAATAAAGCGCTGAAGAGTCAACTTGCAGTATCCGACAAGGTCATCCGTAAGAGGACGTTCGAATTAGGAGCTTACAAGTCTCAGGTCAATGCATGGCAGTCAAAGATATCAAACATCAAAGGCTTTGTCAATCAGCTTGGCTCTGACTTCCAGACCCTCCGTAGCGATGCAAACCGGCTCTTGGCGGCGAAGAAAAGCGCGCATGCCGAAAGGTCAGATATTGACAAAAGTATTGATGATGCTAAGGCACAAGTAGCTAAAGCTTCCGAGGCTGCCAGCAAAGGAAGAGAGCAGTTATTGCGGTCAGAGAGCCAGGTTGACCTATTGAAACAGGCTCTTTCTGCAACAGAGGAGAATACGAGATACGTTCGAGGCCAGCTTTCCGATGAGAAGAAAAGAACTAGACTTCTTGAGCAATACATTCAAGAATGCTCCCGCAGTCAAGAACCAAGACTTAGTCAAATCAGGGCTGATCAACTAGCGATTCTGAAGCGATTCGAGGCCGTGTTCCACGCCTTGGGTAGCCAGCAAGAGCGATCTCAAAATGCCATTCAGCAAACGATCGGGCCTAGCTTGGACAAATGTGTTACAACACTTGACAGTCTCGGTGAAAAGGTTGCAAACAATGATTCGAGTGTAAAGGACTGCATGGACGGCGTCAAGGGTGAAATATCACGGTGAGCTCTCAAGAGTTGGGAAATGCTGCCTTAGTGCTGATCATGAATTAACAGCATTGGAGGTGAATTGGTTCAACTACACGACTTGACCAAAGAATGCTGTGCAAATGATGGCGGCTTTATGACGAACCTGAACGAGCAACTTCAAAGGGTCACAAGTCAGATTGCGAGTGAATCAACGCTGGTCGAACGAATCTCCATGCATACGGAGCATTTCGGCGGACTAAAAGAAGCTCTTGAGCGCCTATTACCATTGACTGACCAATTGAACTGTTCTATTGATGCATTGAGGAACAATGAAGCAAGGCTTTGCGGCCAAATGAAGCAATTCGAAGCCGACCTGGGTGAGGCACGGACTCTCAAGAATTCTGAAGCTGCTGCACTTGAATTCACGCGCCACGAGTTGGAGAAAGCTCAAATAGAGGGCAGGATGCAGAAAGTGGTGGCAGAGTCGGAGGCCATGGCAGAGAAGTTGAGAGCCAAGGACCTCGAGAACAAAGCCATTCAATCCTCCCTGCTTAAAGCCGAATCACGAACTCAAAAGATAGAACCCTGCGTCATGAAGCTCGAAGCGGAAGTCGTCACCCTGAAAGATGCAGTCAGACAGAAGGAGAGCCAAGTCCGAGAGGAGTTGGGCCGGGCCAGTGTCATAGCTCGCGAGCAGATCAAGGCCAGATACGAACAGCAACACCGCGATCTGTTGAAAGAGAAAGCTGATTTAGCACAATCAGTGGAACTTCTTCAAAAGCAGATTGACGTTACTAAATCAACATTTGTAAGATGTCCTTTCCCAGTTTCTCGATTATGTGAGCTCACAATTTACAGGATGAGTTCAAGATTTCACGAGACAAACAATATGCCGATCGAGGTATCCTTGTGAGTGGCCTGTATGAGGAATAGCCAGACGAGTTCTGATTGTTTATAGCTTGATTCAAAGACAAAAGAAGTCGAGGAGTTTACTTGTCGTGAATCCAAGACGGTCACTAAATTAGCTGAGCAAGAGCAAGAGCTTAAAAGACTGGCGGAACAAACAGCTCTGGCCGAAGCGCGTAGTATCGGTCTCCAAGATCAATTTGAAGAAACGAAGAAGAAGGCACACGCCCTCGAAGACGATCTTGTCAATACCCGTGACGAGAAGAACAAGATTCAGACAGAGTTGCAGCATAAGCTCGACGCTCTTTTGCAAGACAACATGGAAAAACAAGAAGAGTGTCACAAAATCCAGGAGAGGCTCACATCTGTCTCAGCAGAACGAGCGGATCTTGAGAGCAGCAAGCTGAAGACAAAGGATGAAATCCACACACTCCTCAAGCGGGTGCAAGACTCAGAAGCCTGGGTAAACAAACTCACGGAGCTTCTCCGTCGTGCAGGTCTCGCTGCGGCTACAGACTCGCTTACGGAGATCTGGAGCAGGTTCGAGGTGACCTTGCTTTCTACGGCTGGCATTGCGGTTGATAGTCGAAATGAAACTTGGGTCAATCCTGTTGAAGAGAAGTCCTTTAGTGCGAGTGGCGGTGGCTTGCTACCCCAGGAGGATATGGAAAAGCCCGAGCACGTCAATTCTAAGTTGACAAGCGTCGCTACAACAGTACCTGACAGTCAGGCGACCACTTGTCTTTCACCAGCGAGGCGAAGTGACGGAATCAGTAACGACGAGGCTTCCGTGGACTCAATGTGCTTGCTGGGGTCAGCTATCGTTCCGTTTTCCAGCATCCAGCAGCAATCTCCTCGCACTGAATGCCTGTTCTCGAGCAATGATAGCTATGACCTCGCAGCCATGTTAATATTTACTCCGGAAAGTGGAGCAGTGGCAGGTAGCTCCGCCGTGGCAGAGCTAGCTGCGAACTGTTCTACAAGCTCGCCCAAGCGTACGGGACAAGACTTGATGGAAGGGCAGCAGAACTCCCCATCAAAAAGTTCTCCGAAGGCCGCAAGCGCAAAGAATGACGGCAGTCCGCGCAAAGGTGAAAGAGCACCCAGGGTTCTCAAGTTAAACTTGAGTAGTGGAAACAGCAAACCTGGTGATAACAGAGCGAAGCACAGGTCGGTCACATTTGAGACGGAAGTCCCTGCCCCGCAAAAAGGGAAACGCAAATTACACGATATGGAGACTGCTCACAGCCAGGGGAGCCCAGCAGACAGCGTTGATGAGGATAATCCCATGCGTTCGCGAAGAACATACTCTAAACAGCAACAGCAGTCAACCATCCGGGTTCAGGCTAAGTCCAAAGGTCAAGTAGCAAGCGCTTCTGAAGAAGACATGGCACACGAGGTCACTGAAGCTGGAACGCCACGTTCTCTCATGAACAAGAGGACTAGAGTATCCTTCGACACAGTCAAGACCACATCGCAGACGAAGACAGTGACTGAGTATTTCGATCGCAAATCGAGCCCTGAAAAGCTTGCTTCTGGAAGCAGCAGACCTGCGCTGAATGACAGTCAGACTGGATTCCAGAAAAAGCCGACTCGAGGTGGTAGAGGCGGCGGCCGAAAGACAAGAGGTGAGTAGAATCTGATAATTAATCGCATGATCGCTGCTGAAGCACCAAGGTGATCGCTATAATGCTCGTTTCAGTCGAGGGAAGTAGATCCCAGCAAAATATGCGCAGGTTGAGTACTCTCCCACACTCTTCCACGCCGATAATAGTGTTCATCTGTGAAGAACGTCGAATTTGTTTGCTCGTTATGTTGATTTATGTGGCTTAGTTGATATCCTATCCTTATGAAACGAAACTTGTGATTATGATGGGACTGACATATCCCTCATATGTGCTTTGAACCTTTCAGCTGATGAAAACATTGATACCTTGCAGGCGATATTTCCATTGAGGAGGAATTGTGGAAAAATAATTTGTGATATATTGAACGATGATGGACCCAGATTGTACTGCTCTAAAACGCCAGAATGCAACACAAGAAAAGCAGACAGCTTAAACATACATGGAGATGTTGAGTTCATCCCACAACTTGAAGTCTTAGCTGCTGCGCGGTATAATATACATGATCATATCTTCGAAAGTTCGAGAGTTTGGCGACCCGCTGCATCGAGATGGTGGCCGTGATAGTTGCTCCGAGGTTCTCCGCGATTCGTTATAATGAAAGCGAGGGAACGGTATCAGGGAATTGTCCAGGCCGAGATCTGACTTGGAAGTATTGCGACGAAGACGAACCACCGTCGAAGGATGCGCGAGACGCCATTTGACGGCAGCAAAAGCCTCCGTAGAGCCGAGGTTCCATTCTATTTATTCCGACCACCCTTGGTTGCCTCCAGGAAGAGGACCTGCTTCTTCACGACCGGGTCGTACTTGAGCATGCTGAGCGGACGGTGGGTACGGGGCCGGACCATTGTGCGGTAAAAGCCCGTCATGGCCATCGAGATGAGACGGACGGTGATGGTACGAGACTTGGCTATACACGTAGAAAAGAGAAGAGATTAGCTTCTGTTCGCAAACGTGTCTCTAAAGAGCTCCAAGGACTGAGAAAAGTGGTGCGACGTTTTTTTTCTTCTTGTGTCCGACCGGGCTGGAGATCCCGCCAGCCGCGGGCAATTGAAACCCAAAGGGGCTAGCAATCGAGGTAGTACTCACCTTTCTTGGCCATTGTGTGCAGAAAGTGCAGTGAGCGAGTTGAGGGGGTGAGGCGTAAGGTTAGTGGTTCGGAGGATCAAAGGCTTGCGTCTGCGCGATCGGGGATGCGGAGGTTGCGGCGGAGGTTTGGTGGAAACTTTGGCGGTGCTCTTCGTGATGCAGGCACGTGATTTAGGCGGTGAGGGGTGTGGATTTGTCTATCGCGGGCTCCAGCCTGGGCCGCTGGGCTCGTTGGGTGGTGTTCCTAATTGGGTTTAGCTCATTGGTGGGTGCTTCTTCTACATCTACATTTCTACTGTACAACCACCCCCTACATTCAAATCGAGCTTCTCAGAGCGGATCTTTTTCTTCTCAAAATGCTTTGATGGACTTGCAACGCCTTCATTGATTGTCTCAGTTTCTACGACTCGATCAGACACTGCTTTCGGGATTTCTGATTCACAATGCGATTGCGTTCCAAAGTATGGGCAGCACGTGGCTTGTAGCTGCGAGACTGGAGTTGAGATCTTTGCCCTGGAGCAGCTGATCGATCGCAAGAGTTGACGGACGATATTCACAGACACGAAACAAGTTATTGGTTGGGCATCAAACTTGTTCCTCCAGGACGGAGGGTGCGATGCCCAATACCGTTGTGAAAATAAGGAAAAGAATCCGACACTTGGTGTGCTAGAGATATGCTACACACCCTCCCATGACCTTTTTTGCTTTCTCCGCAGGCAGCACATTCGTTTTCCTTCAGAAGGGCAACAATCTGCAGATCCCTCGATTCTGCTTACCGAATGGGATCTAATACTCAGGTTACGTTTGCCAGAACTCGTTCGAGATACCATTCTCGTCTCTACTGTTCAGGAAACGCGCTTGTCTGGGCAAGACTATGCATCCTCGAACTCCAAGGGTAAGAGACCAGGTGGCTGTTCGTTCTCATGATCATTTTGTGGTGGTCGAGAAGCAGGGAAAAGGGGATACCTTTCATCCCCCACCCCCCTATCCAGCATCTATACTTTCTGTCCCGACATGATTTATTAGTGTCGGCTTTCTCGTGCTCCCGGGCATGCACGCCATTACCCGTGTGTGGATCGTCGATATCGAACGTATTGGCACAGAGCTGCAGAAATAAAGGTCTAGGTATCATCTGCCTCCATCCTTCTTCAAGCGGACGACTAGGGCGTCTCGACGATCGACATAGCTTGTCAAGCTTGAGAAGGGAAGCTTCAGAGGCCAACTTTGGCTTCGGGGTGGGACGGATAACTCGAGGATACTTTTCTAGCTACTTACCGGAGACACCACCATCACTCATAGTTCGATCGACCGCGACTTTCGGAAATGACCAACCGCTCACCATGAAGCTTGTCGAACTGCGGGGGCTCGAGCGCTTTTTGAACAAAATGATGTGCCCTGAGTGAAAGTATGTTTTGGTACCGGATGGCACAGCAGACTTCCCTCTGGATTGTCAGGCGACCCGGACTGATGCGCTATTGGCCCCTGCATCTATGCGGGTGCACCAGCCACACCTAATCGGGACACGGAGTGTTCATGGTATTTCCACGGGGTTGATCAAGCTGCTGAGCCGGATTCAGGTGAGGTTAAGTTTCTTTTGATTGTTTAGTGGAACGTGCTGCATATGACTTGAAAGAGGCTTCCATGGGCTTTTGTGGCTGATATGGGGCATTGTATACCAATGATGATCATTTGTGATTCCTGATCAGTCCGTGCCATTGGCCGGAGTTACCTATGCGCTCTGTGGTTTGTTAGCTTTACAGGAGGAATGGAAGAAAGGTAGTTGGATTATTTTTATTGTTGTTTTTCGCCGAAGAGCTTTTTTTTTTCTCTTTTTTTCGTTTCTTGGTTGTCTTTCCGCTCTCAGTCTCTGGTTCACCACATGTCATCCTGGTCGTGCTCCTCACCATATTCACTTGCGGCTTCAAATGCCTCGTCGATGACGTTCCCTTTCAGATCCATGCTAACATATTCAATCATTGGAAGATTGAGATTCTGAGCAGGCAGACGGGGTATATCGGTTACTGGAACCTCGGGTGGAGCGACAGTGTCGTCGTACAGCAGAGGGTTATCCAAGGTTACGCCTTGAAACGTTGGCCATGGCATGTCTGTCGCGTATACCCCGCAGTAGGGGCAAGTTGGAATCAGCACTCTGGAGTTGCGTGTGTCAGGCCGGTAACGGGAATAAGGCCTCCATCGATAGGAAGCGGAACCGGGCCGAGTTGTGACCTCAGGGCTGCTCAGTGCCGAACTGCGTCGCGGATTGCAGTTACATGGGACAGGGCGGTCGACTCGCACCGGCGTTTCAAGGCGAACATCCCAATCCAGTGGCCTTCCGGCTGCCTGCCGAATTAGCAGCTCCTGGATTGCAGCCGCCGTGCTCGGGGCTACCTCGCGATCTCCGTATTCCTCGATTAAAGCCAGGTAGGACTCGGGTTTGGAAGATTTGAAAATGAAGCGTATGATGTCGACTGTCGATATCACTGGAGCTGGGTCTGGCTCTGCCCACCTAGCTGTCTGCAACCGCTCCAACGCTCGATCTCTTGGGCCGGTGTCACCGTTAATGGTGCTGCTGATACTCGGAACCGCATCTTCCGAATCTTGCATACCGTTCCTGAGACTCAGCTGCTGCACGAGTTGTCGCTGTAGATACTCTTGTCTATCACGTTTGCGGAGCTCCTGAAGAACTTCCCACTCGAGCATCTGTCGATTATACTGCATCCAAATCCAAGCCACCCGGGGGTCTTGAGGAAGGCCCTCGCTATCGCGGTCCGTTCTTAAAGTGGCCATGGGCACCCCTAAATCAAGTCGCTCCCCAGGAAGCGAGCGTTCGTATTCGCTAAGGCGAGCTTCCTGTTCCTGCGTCATGATGCAATATATGGTGTGGGGGGGGCTGATCCCACCAGAAAACTGGGGGCCAGGGGGAGGAGGATCGTGCCGGTCAGGATCGCGTGCCTGCTCCCGTAGGATGCGAAGTCTTCGATTGCGGTGGCATTCGAGGTTCTGACAACTCGGCTGCATGAAGCCATTTGGCCCACAGCACGGACACTGGCCTTCCAGCACCGGCGGAAATCCATGACTCGCGAGCCCTCGGCGGGCGCCTAGCGCCGTCCTGCACATTGCACATGTCTCCGATTCTGTACTCCCTGCGTGCCAGAAGCAGTTCAGCCATGTCATCTTGAAATACCTCAAGCTTCTGCCGAAGCTGAGCTTGTGAAGAGCTTTGTTGTGTTGTTGTTGTCTTCTGAAAATTCCTAGGTGGGTGTTTCTAGAAGTGTTCCGTTGGAGAGGACGGGGAGAAGGGACGCTCTGAAGGGGAAAGGATCGATGATGGATTTTATATTGGCTTGATGGCTGTAATGCCATGTTGCTGAACAAAGACATTTGACGAAGATCATCCTTCTCAAGGGGTGTAGTTGACGCGGAAACTCCAGCTGGAGAGCTCCTCTTGCTGATACCTACTACCGGTAGATATCCCACACAAAGGTTGAAAGAATTATGAATTGGAAATCACCCTCACATTAACGCGGCATCTGCAATATCAACTTGGGTTATGGCAGATTAGATTGGCTCAACTGGATTTGGTGTGAGGGGAGCTTCCACACTATTCTCGGCAGCGATACAACATTCAAAAGGGATCTCCTCAACCTACACATGGCTGAGACGAAGATCTGGGTCACTGCATCATGGCTCGAATTGCTGCATTCTCATTTAATGATCTAGGTGCCACCCTCTATCTACCCTGCGTCGCCGAGAGAAAACACCAGTTGAAGAGGATACTTCTGGAGCCTGATCTGGATTACCTGGCACCTTTCCTTGAATGATGTGGATGGATATCTCAGGATAGCATTTGGTAGCGTCCGCAATAGTCTGGATTCTGCTGCATTGCTGATATTGAATTCTAAGGTACATATTCGATAATATCTACTACCAACACTCCAACAGGACCCGCCGCAGACGCCCCTCGCGCAAGGCCATATAGACCTTACTCACCTGTGACCCGATGGTCCGCTTGCCTGCGCTCTGGGCCCGATCGACCGTCGGGTGGTCGGCGAACCCCCGGTGGAGCGGGACGCCCAGCTCCTCCCGCACGAAGGCGTAGAGCCGTCGCGACGCGCCGCAGAGGTAGGTTGGGGTGGGGGGAGAGGTAGTGGTCTGCGTGAACCGCGTGGCGCGGACGGTTTCGTAGCTCTCGCGCAGCATGCACGCGAGCTTGCGCTTCCACTCACGGATCGGTGGCCCCTCAATCTCGGGAGTCTCGGGTGGCAGCAGGTCCAGCAGGGTGCCGGCGGTGCTCGTGGCGGTGGTGGTGCAGCGGTCGGCGAGGTCGGAGGTGCTGGTTCGGGACCAGTGGTACATCAGCTCGGCCCAGATGGTGGTGCGGATGTGTCGGAGGGTGGTTGGGTCCGCCGCCGCCGATGCAGCAACAAGCTCGCCGGTGAGCGCGTCGACCTTGGGCCGCACGTCGCGCAGAAACTCCGTCTGCAGCACACGCAGGTCCAGGGCCTGGCACAACACGTACAGGAAGGTGGCGGTCATCAGCGCCAGGACCTCGACGGCGTCGGCGGCGTAGCGGCACCCCACAAGGGCCAGCGAGTTGAGGCTCTGGTTGTGCATCTCGGCCGACTGCACGTGGTTGCTGACGGGGTGGTTGAGGTAGCCCAGCTCGGAGAGGTAGGCGGCCATATTGATGTCGAGGCCCTTGAAAGCGTACGACAGGCTGGGGTCGTCGAGGCTCAGGTTCGGCGGCAGCCCGTGGCTGAGCGCCGGGTTGAGCAGCTCCGAGCACTGCGCGAACAGCATCTTGCCGACCATCTGCACGCAGCCCAGCGTCTTCTCCATCGCCGACGTGATGGCCGCCGCCTGGAAGTTGCCGCCGTGGTGGACGTGGCGCCCCGCCACGCTGATCAGCGGGTTGTCGGTCGTCGAGTTGAGCTCTGTCGCCACCTGCGTGAGCGCCAGCGCCATTGTCTCGAGCTGCGGCCCCAGCCACTGCGTCGCGGTGCGCAGCGCGTACCGGTCCTGGCTGAGCCCGGCGTGGCCCGCGGCGTCAGTCATGCTGCTGCTGCCCGCCGCCCCTTCCTCCGTGGACCGCGCCGCGAGACGGGAGTCGGCCAGGAAGCCGAAGATGTTGGCGGCGGCTTCGATCTGCCCGTCGTGGGGTCGCACGGCCGCGATGAACGGGTGGTAGTTGTCCGCCTGGCCCGCGAGAGCCTCCGTGGCCATGGCGGTCAGAAGCTGCGACACGAGGAGGAGCTGGTTGGCCTCGAACAGGACCAGACTGGCGGCGCCGCAGCTGAAGGCCGTCCCGTTGAGCAGACCAAGTCCCTCCTTGGGTCCCAGATCGAGCGCGGGGAGTCCGAGCTGCTGAAGGGCTTCGTCCGCGGGAAGGACCTGGTCGGTCGCGTGGACATGCACGGAGATGTCGGGGTTGCCCTCCAACGTGCCCGCAATGTAGGAGAGCGGCGCCAGGTCGCCCGAGGCGGAGATACTGCCCCGGAGAGGCACGACGGGCGTCACGCCGTGCCGCAACAGCGTGAGGATATGTTCGACCACGACCGGCCGCACGGCCGAATGACCGCGGAGCAGGGAATTGCATCGCGTCAACATGGCCGCCCGGACCACGGGAATCGGCATGCTATGGCTTCGATGGCAGGGGCTGAAGGTGGCGGGGGCTTCCAGGGAGGACTGTCTGCGATCGCTGGGCAGGAGAACGCACGAGGTTTGCATCTGAATGAGGGCTTTCTGGAGGCCGGCGTAGTGCGTGGTCCGCGTGTCCGCACTGCCGCCGAACCCCGTGTTGACCCCGTACACCACTTCGCCACGCTGCAGCTGCTGGTCGAGAAAGTCCACACTGGCTTCCATGCTTTGACGAACAGTGGGGTCACTGGTCATAGTGGCATGTTGGCCGTGTCTGGAAAGATTCGATTAGGGGTTGAGGGGAAGTGGACTGCCCGGGGTGGAAAACATACTGAGCCACGACAACCACCGCACCCACATCTAAAGTACTTCCGTTCAGCACAATCGGGGTTTGGCTCTTCAGTAGGTCCTCTACCCTTTGACATGAGGAGAGCACACTCTCAGTGAAGGACAGACCGCGAGCATCGCGAAGTGTCAAGTCTCCCATGATGTTATGGCAAGATGGTCGGGTCGCCCGTCGGTTTAGGGTTGCTTCTGAGATGTGGTGGCCGGTGAGAGCCTGCATATAGGACAGCGTTATTATCGCTCTTTTTTTATAGTCGTCCGAAGACAGTCTGACATCTCGCCAAAGAAAAACCCAAAAGGGTAAAAGAGGAAGTTTCTGCAGGATTGGACGGAGATTCGTGAAAATGGACACGGTCAGTGAAGAATGAATGTACCTATGCCAATGCCTTACTCCGTACTGAGGCTGTCCAGGTGCAAAGGCTGGGCCTGCGTGGCGGTGGTAAGTGAGTTACTAGCATTTCAATGCATCCTTAGTTCTTATGGCGGCATCAAATGCAAAGCTAAGATAGAGCAGAATTGAGCAGAATTAAGCAGAATTATTGGACACGGCGCCGGCCGACCGGGCCGTCAATGGCTTGCACGACCATAAGCGAATCCCGCGAAAAGCAAATGGGAAATAGCGGTGTAAATCACATCACAATGACGATGGCTGAGGTAGACCAGCGAGAACCCTTGCAGATTTGCAGATCTGCAGATCATAGGGCCAGGGCCCACCCTTACGCACAGGTCAGAAATGCTGCCTTCCGCACCAGCAAACGTTAAGCCAGATCCTTCCTGTACATTTCGGATATCTAACTTGCCACTCATATACCCATAGACGAACACGGTGAACTCGTGCAGCATGAATGAGACATGATGAAACCCATCCGGATCAAAAAGCCTTCCTGTATGACACCACGCCGCCGAACCAGAACAGTACAGGGAAGGCCGAAACCCCCGTCAGCAAGCCCAACACCCCGGTCATCGTGGGCCAACCCGCACTTTGGCGAATGTAGCCCGCCAGCAAAGGGCCGGCAACGGAGCCAGCAGCGTAGGCGGAGTTGGCCAAGCCGTACGCCAGCCCCATTGCCCCTTGAGTGCCAAAGGTCGACGACGGGGCCTCTTGCTCCGTCTCGGCCGCGGCATACGAATTCTCGGCCAAGACCAAGGGGAACAAGAGACTCACGCACACTCCCAGAAGGAAGAGCAGGGCGCAGAGGAGGATCTTGTGCGCCAGGTCGTTGTCGGACACCAGACGGAGAAGGACGGCCGGGGGCACACTCAGCAGCAACGCTCCGCCGGCCAGAAGCCGCCGATACTTGGGGCATCGGTCGTTGATCCACCCGACCAGCGGGCCCAGAAGGCTGGGCACGAGGAACGGGATGAAGATCAGCCCCTGCGCGGTCTGCGCCCATCCGTACGCGTCCTGGACGAACAGCGGCAAGGCACTGTCGAACGCGGCGATGACGATCGAGATCACGACACACGCCCAGAGGACGACCAGGATCCGCGGCGAGGAGAGCAGTCTCCAGACGCCCTGAAGACCGGTGGGCGATTGTAACGCTGGCGGTGCAGCAGGTTCGAGGTCATTCTCCTGGCGAGCGGCCGGTTCCAGCGGGGAAGGCCCCTGGTCCAAACCGCAAGTGAGCTCGGGGGCATGCGTCCTCTCAATGATCAACAGCCGAAGTGCCAGGTCGATTCCGATCAGGATAAACGCCACGATGAAGACAGCGTAATACCCGGCGTGTTCATAGACCGCACCGCCGATGAGCGGGCCCACGAGGTTCCCAATGGTCATGCCCGTGCTCATATACCCCATGGCGTGGCCCAGCTGCTCCTCCGGGACCGTGTCCACCAGCAATGCGCACGAGACGGTCCAGACGATGGCAGCGGCGGCCCCCTGGAGGAGGCGACCGGCGATCCAAAAGCCAATGCGGTTCCCCGCGCAGAACAGAGCAGTCCCCGCGCCCAGCGTCATCACGCCGGCCACCATGGGCCACCACCGTGATCGGATGCGGTCCGAGATGTAGCCGCTGAGGGCTGGAAGTGGCGGCGGTGTTAGCATCGGTGTGGGGTCTCTGGTCGCGACGTACTCACGTGCAGAAGAAAATTGAGCAGCGCCGTAGAGCGCGATCAGGATTGAGGTCCATCTTTGCTCTGTGCTTGTGAGACGGGGATTAGCGACACGAGGGATCAGACGGCTAGAGGGCATCATTACCATCATTTCTGGATACCCCGAGTCGATCATGGAGCGCAGTAGGAACCACAGGTACAATCTAGAGCGGCTTAGCTACGGGACCAAATGCGCTGCCCGGATGAGTTGGAACTTCTAGCAAGCATACCAGTCCATACAAAAAGCTATCCTGTGGACGTTTGTCAGCCTATAGATTCATGATTGCATGTCCGTGGTTTCAGGCGAGGCCGCATACGTACGGTAAAGACCGCGTAAGACGCCACAAATGTGATGAACGAGACAGAGGATCTCAAGTGGAAGAGCACAGGACGTCTTTGCCTTGGGTTACAGTCGAGCTGCGAGTGGCTCACTGTCGCGCTGGCCATGGGAGTCTGCAGCCGGCTATTACAGTTGGCAACACGCCGTGAAGGTCAGGAGCCGAGGAAGTTTCCCGTGCTTAAGTTAACTATTGATGGCCAGCATATGGAGCATATGGATCATATGGATGAGACTGGTTTGAACAAAGATCACTCGGAAATGCGCCCATCCCTTGCTTGATTGAAATGAGCGATTTCCAGACTATTGACGGGAGGGCCCTCGCAGCATGCCATGCACCGCGCTGATCGCTACCCTTCGCCCGCACGAGCCCTAATTTGAATGGGTAATACAATTTCCCAACTGCAGACCACTACCTCAAAACACCATTTACATTACGGTCCCAATTCAGCCCTGGTGATACTCCGCGGCCACCCGTTTGGTCAGCCACTCATAGGAAGTCACCGGCTTCTCCTGGTCCCAGTCGGCCATACTGGGCCTCCATTTCCCCGGCACGTCACAGCCCGGCAAAGTCTCGATCATGACCTCGGGGTCCACTGCCCCGGTATACGCAATCGAGTAGCGATCGAACACCAGCTTGCCCTTGTCCGACCGAGCCCCCAGCGTCTCCTCGCGCGGCCCCACGACCTGATGCAAGGCGCTCTTCCACCGCCCATTCGACTGACGCTCCAGCATATCCCCGACATTGACGACGATCGTGCCGGGCTTGGGCGCCACCGGCCGGAAGACGGCGCCGTCGTGCACCTCCAGCCCGCCCACGTGGTCCTGGAAGACGAGGGTCAGGCCGCCGTAGTCGGTGTGCGCGTTCAGGCGGCGCGGTTCCTGGCCCGCGGGGGCGGTGGCTGTGGCCGAGGCCGACTGCAGCACCATCTGCGGATAGTGGAGGAAGCTGATATGCCCGAACCGCTGGCTCTGCATGCGGCACAGCGTGTCGCTCTCGATGGCCAGGATGTCGCACAGCGCGCGCCGCAGCGCCGCCTCAACCTCGTTGCACGCGTCCCAGAACCGCGCGTAGAAGGCGCGGAACCCCGGGAACCGGGGCTCCGGCAGCCACTGGTTCTTCGGGTTGGCCGGGTTGCCGACCTCGAGCGTCTCCTTGTGGTCCGGGGACGCGATGCGGTGCGCCTCGACGGCCGCCTCGTCGAAGACCAGCTGGCTGATGTGGCCCACGCCGTACTCGGCGTAGCCGAGGTGGTCCTCGAGGGCGTCGCTGGCGGGCCGCGGGATGAGGTTCTTGGTGGCGGTGTCGAGGTTGAAGAAGCGCTTGGAGTGGCGGTTGGTCAGTTTTGGATGTTTAGACGGGTGAAGGGGCAACTTATCCATTTCAGGGCGTTGTCGTAGACCTCCTCGGGCATGCCGTGGTTGGCCAGGTAGATGAATCCGTAGGTTTGCAGGGCGTGGTCTAGTTGTGTGAGCGCTTCTCGTCGTTCGGCGGCGGACCCCCGGAGCTTGGAGCAGTCGAGCGTGATCATGTCCGCGGCCTCGTTGCTGGACGCGGAGGCTGCGAGCTGCGGGTCATGGTGGGAGGATCCGATAGAGCCCATGGTGGTGGTGCTTTGGAAGAAGAGACGAAGCAGATCGGTTTTGTCTCCTGTTGTGTGGTGCGTGGAGGTGCGGAGGCTGGCTGGGTATCAGCTGTGTTGAGCTTTATATGATTATACCGCGGGGGACAAGCTGACAGTATTCCGTGGCAAGACTACAACGGGACTAACGCAATGAACTGGACTTGTCCTGTACAGTGCAAGGATGAGGCCTTCTTTCGCAACGAGGGCACAATTGCACGATTGGTGTTTCAAGGGTAATGCGAGTGCATCGTGTGCGCTACACCGCTTGTCGATCGGGGGGATGGCGTAGCTGAGCGTTGCAGGATCAGGATGAGTTGAGTTATATTGACTGCATGCACTGTCGATCAGCAGGATCTGTCACAGCAGCCACACGCACGAATCAATCAGTCTTGCAGTCGAACCAAGCAGTCGCCAATTCCTCAAAGCCATCGTGGTCCGTTCTTTCTCTCACTCACTCACTCACTAGCCTACCCTCCGTGGCCACGAATTTCACAACCCTCCACACTTGATATGCAGCCACGTCTGAATAGTGCCTTTTGCAAAGCCTGTAATTCATGCACAGTCTGCACCTAATCTTCTTCCTCTATTTCGCTCCCACCTTATGAGGTATCTCTCGGAGTGCTCTTTCACAAGTCACAGCGACCTGGCTGCACTCCTCTGCGAAGAGGCATCCGCCGCTCAAACAATGTGAAAATGAGTGACAAGACAATCTGTACGGACTTCAGATCGGCTCCGAACCCTTGCCTGCTGGTGCAGCGAGGACACTGCAGGAGACTTTCTTCAAACTCGAGCTCGAAAAGAATGTGAGGCGACTGCTCAGGGCTGTAAGAAGCCATGTGACAGTCGGCTGAGGAGGTTTTGGACCCGGACGTCGACCCAACAGGGGATACTGTCTCGCATATAAGTAGTCGCCATTGGATCAATATCGCTGCAAGTCTACTATACATCCCCGAGCGACGACCCCCAGTCTGGACCACACCAGCAAAATGGCCAGTCCGAACTTAGGAGGCAGGTTCATGGAGTTCGAGGGCGTGAGATTTCCGCCGTTGCCGTCCGACTCCTACAGCCCTTCGCTCGATGGCCAAGTCACGAAGTGGATCCCCCATGATATCTCCCAGGAGGAGCTACCCACCCGCCTATGTTTGAGCTGGGCTTTTGTGCTGTCTCTCTATACAACCTCGCCAGATGTGCTGTTTGGGGTGCTCGATGACACACAGGGTCAATGCAAGGGCGCCAATGCCATTGTTCCTTGCCATCTGAATCTGGACTCGGTCGACACCGTTCGCGCCAGCTGTGCGATGGTCAACCAGTACTGGCAGATCAGTCGCCATTTTGAGCAGATGGGGCTGGACAATCTGCGCACGAGCAGCGCCGAGGCGACTCGTCTCTGTGACTTTCGCAACGTCTTGGTCATGCGCCTGATGGCTGGCCTCGACGAGCCGAGTAATGACAGACTGTCTGAATCATTGAGTTCTCAGTATCCACTGGTCTTAATATGCGGCCTGGATCGCGAAGGTGTGACGGTCCGTGTGCATTTTGACTCGACCGTTCTCTCTCCCGAGGTGTTCGAGTCGGTCCTGCACACACTCTCGCACACTCTGACGCAAGTCACTTCCACGGCCAACCTCGACACACGTTGGGCGCACATTCAAACCAGTAACCCCAAAGATCTCAAGAAGAGTCTCCACTGGAACACGCAGAGCGGCACTGAAACAAGCCGCGAATGCGTTCACCATCGGATCGAACGTCATGCCACCGAACGGCCCCTGGCACCCGCTATCTGCGCGTGGGACGGAGACTTCTCATACGGCGAGCTTGACGAGAGCGCGTCTTACCTTGCCCATCAACTCTTCCATGCCGGCCTCACATCCGAAGGCCTTGTCTTTATTCTGTCGGAAAAGTCCAAGTGGACGCCCGTCGCCATCCATGCCGTCCTCAAGGCCGGAGGGGCTTTCTCGTTGATGGATCCCTCGCAGCCGACTCACCGGCTTGCCACGCTCTCCGACCTCGCGTGCCCTCATCTGATCCTGGTCTCCAAGCAGTACTACGCCAAGGCCTGTCTCCTCGGACCTGAAGTGATGATTATCGAGGAGATGAGCGCTGAACCTCCCGCCAAGGACCCAGAGATGCCGCGCTGGCGGGAACGGGCTAGGGTTCAGAGCCATCACATGCTCCATGTGGGCTTCACCTCTGGGTCGACAGGCACTCCCAAGGGCGTCATCACCGACCACGCCGCCTTGACCAGCGGGGAGCCCGTCTCCGGACTCGACAGCTCGTCCCGCGTACTGCAGTCGACATCATACTCCTTCAGCGCCTGCATGTGGGAGCACCTGGTGGCCTTGACCTACGGCGCCTGCCTGTGCATCCCGTCCGAGGACGAGCTGCAGAATGATATCGAAGGGACCATCCACCGTCTCGGCGTCACCTGGGCGATGATCACTCCGTCCGTCGCGCGGGTGCTCGAGCCCACCAAGGTACCCAGCATCCAGACCATGTTCCTGGTCGGCGAAGCGATCGGCCGGCTGGAAGTTGGGAAGTGGGCGCATCAGGTCGCCCTGCACTCGATGTACGCGCAGTCCGAGTGCGGGAGCCCTATAATGACGAAGCGGATCCTCGAGCCCCGAGACCTGTCAGCGGTGGGATCGCCCGGCGCCGCAATCGGATGGATCGTCGATGCGCAGGACCACAATCGCCTGATGCCGCTGGGCGCCGAGGGGGAGCTGGTGCTTCACGGGCCGTGTCTGGCTCGGGGCTATCTCCACAACCCCGAGCAGACGCACGCCACCTTCATCACGTCTCCGGCCTGGATGGGGCAGGTCGGCTATGCATCAACCACGCGGTTCTTGAAGACGGGGGATCTCTTTTCGCGCAGCCCCGTGGACGGGTCTTACCATTTCCGCGGCCGCAAGGGCGGCAAGGTCAAGGTCCGGGGCCAGAGAATCGAGCTGGCCGAGATCGAGTACCACCTGCGCGCCCAGTTTCCGGAGGCCTCCCATGTCGTGGCGGAGCTGGTGCGGCCCCGCGACGTGGACTCGCAGTATGGCATGCTCGTGGCCGTCATCCCCGTCACGTCTATGCGGCCAAATGGCGTAAATGCTGCGGGTCACTGCCAGCTCCTGCCCCCCGATGCAGTGTTCCTGGCCCGCGCACGACGGGCGTTGGACCAGATGAGCGAGGTGCTGCCGTCTTACATGATCCCTAACTCCTTCATCCCGGTGGCCAGTCTGCCGCGCACTGCGTCCGGGAAGATGCACCGCCGACTCTTGGTCGAGACCATCTCCCGGCTCTCTCGCAAGGAGATCCTGGCGTACATGACAGCCTCCCAGCTGTATCGCCCTCCGAGAACCGAGAGGGAAACACTCTTGCAGTCAATTTTGGTCAAGACACTGTCCCTCGCCGCGGAAGAAGTCGGGATGGACGAGTCATTCCTCGGCTTAGGGGGTGACTCGCTGTCCGCGCGGCAGCTCGTAACACTCGCGCGTGGCGAGGGACTCAGCCTCACGGTGATGGACTGTCTCCAGCAGCCCAGTCTCAGCTCCCTCGCCGAATGCGCGAAGACCAGTCACTCAGAGCCTGTCGACCATATCCAGGCCACTCAGGAGGACCCTTTCAGCTCGCTGCGCCACGACTTCTTCGACAATCTTCCCCCCGACCTAACCGCCGACATGATCGAAGACATAGCTCCGGTCCGCGAGACACAGCTCTTTCTCGTGCAGTATCAGATCCTCGACTACCTTCAGATCCGGATGGCTGGCCCGCTGGACCCCGTGCGACTGCGCGGGGCGTGCGAAGGCCTGGTGCAGGGCCACCCGATTCTGCGCACGATCTTCCTCCCCTTCCACACCGAGCACGTCCAGGTCATCCTGCGAGCGGTCGACGTGCCGTGGCGTGTCGTGAGCCCGCCCATCGCTGGCCACGACGCCGACCTCTGGGCGCACGCCGTCTGCGCCGAAGACCGCAGCACGTCGACGCCGCTCGGCGGGCCATTCCTCAAGTTCATTCTGCTGCAGGATGCCTCCCTGCAGCAACATACGCTGATCATCCGCATCAGCCACGCCCAATTCGACGGCCTCTGCCTAGACACGCTCCTAGGCGACCTCGCCCAGCTCTACCGCGAGAGAAGCAGCCCGCTCAACATTCAAACCACCTACGCGGACTTTGTACGCACGTGCGCCACGCTGCGCACGCCGCCGGCCCTGCAATTCTGGCAGACCCTCCTCGCCGACGCCACCCCGACCGCACTCCCGCTCACCCCGTCCACCGCGCCCCAGGAGGCGGCGTGCATCGTAGCCACGCAGGACATCCCGACGGCGCTACCGCCGCCGGCCGGCACGACCTGGGCGACGGTCGTGAAAGCGGCGTGGGCGCAGGTGCTCCGCGAGCGGACGCGCCAGCCGGACGTGACCTTCTGCCAGATGGTCAACTGCCGGTTCGTGGACGTGCCCGCGCCGGAGCGCATCGTGGGGCCGTGCCTGAACCCGGTGCCCGTGCGCGTGCGCGCCGCGCCGGCCTGGACGGTGCGCGATCTCCTGCAGGCCGTCCAGGACCAGCACGTCGCCTCGCTGGAGCACCAGACGCTTGAGTGGGGCGACATCGTGGCCCACTGCACGCCGTGGCCGCGCGACACCGAGATCGACTCGATCGTGCTGCACGAGAACATCGACGCCAGCCCCGTCACGACCGTTGAGGGGAACGCCGTCTGGCGGCTCAAGGCGCACAGCGTGGATAATCCGCCCGAGCGCACCATCTACCTCTACACGTATCCGCAGCCGGATTCGCTGTACGCCGTGCTGGTGCTGTCCAGTGCGGTGGGCAGTCAGGCGGAGGCGCAGCGGCTGGTGCGGCGGTTCGGTGAGGTGGTGGGGTTGTTTGTGCATCGGCCGGGGGCGATGCTCTCTGCGTTGTGAGTTCTAGTTAGATATCAAAAAGGGAAGGGGGGAAGGGGGTCTATAAATCTAGAGCTTAGATTGGTGTATGACGGTTCTCCCGGACCATTGTTTAGTTGATGACAATGATTATCTGCATGGATGATGGCGGATTCTCTGGTCTTCACTCCAGATCTGATCTACGTAGTATTCTCATGCAGTTTCTTGGCCCGCTCGTTCTGAGTAGACCCTTCCTCCTCGCTTGGTAAGAATTGGTAGACATCATTCCATTTGCATTCCTGAGCCCTAATGAGCCCCTCTCACTATGGGAAATGCGGGGGAAACCGGGGAAATATATGGGGGAAGGCACTACTCCTAAATCGGACTAGTATGATTGACGATGGACGATTGACGACTAACTATTGTCTAATGGCTATTGTTCACCTCCACCACCACCTCCTCCTCCTCCTCCTCCTCCTCCTCCTCCTCC